TTTTGGATAATAGATGGTAATAATGATATTGTGTATTTTGTATTCAATTGAGATCATAATGATAAACTTGTAGCCTGTTTCAAGTAACGTAGACTGTGTTATTAACATTACTACAACATGTATAATAGTTTATGAAAGTGTCCTATAACTAAGTACTATCCCATAACTAGGTCAAATATGTTACTGATGATGGCATTGATCGTAAAGAATCAAGTTGTATTATGACTTCAGAAGAGAAGGAAACCAGTGTCACAGTATTTTTTATTGGTTTAGAGTTTGATAGAAAATAAAGAAGGTAATAGTAAGGCAAATAAGAATGATAGTAATAGATTATTGTATATTAAAACTTTAACTGATTGAATCACAAGATCTCATTCTAAATTCTATGGAAAATATGAAGTACCCTAGATGCTTTGAGTTTTTAGGGTGAATTTCTAGGACGGTTGAACATTATGTATTGCATGGAGCCAGGTAGAGGCTTTATACCAATGGCACCATAATAGAGATATTATAACTAGTCCTACACACAGAGAAGGGAAAGAGATAGGGTATCATGGATAGGATGGAGAAAGAGAGATCTCCTGATTTAACGGCCCCCTGTATAAGGACTACTTGAGCTTTATGAGGATGAAATTCTTCCAAAGCTCAAGCTAGGCCCACCCTTGGAGCTTTTTCCTTCGAAAAAACAAAACAAAAACAAAATAAATAAAGTAGAGAATGAAGAACAAGTAACAGAATTCAGCGCCCGGGAGATCAATTTTTCCCCAGGATGGTATCTGTAATCCGACAGATAGACCGAATGCACAACAGACACTTGATCCCAACATAATATTACTAGACTCTTCCCTTTTTTTTCTTTTTTATCACACCCATGATACAAATTCTCGATGGAAACATCTAGAACGGGTAATTGAGGAGGTCTAATTCCATGAAAACTTTAAACCCTCAGGCGAATGTTCCTATGCCTTAGCATCTCCTAGGATAAATCTAACTCTCCAGTAACCCGACTTTCCCAAGACGGATATCGGCGAGCCACGAGTCCCCCCGCCGTTTACTACAGTATTCAGCTACTGCGAATCGTAAATAGGAATGTACTCGGCTTCTCCCCTGAAAGTTGCAATAACATATGAACCGCCATGTCTTCCAGCAGGGTAAGATATACCAGTATACAGACGGCGCCATGGTCATTTATTTATCTCCCCTTCTTAAGTGGGTTGTCCAATAATTATGAACTAACTAGAGCCAACGCACTTCTTTGGGAATCCTGGCTTCGTAATCTAAGACCAAGCAAACATTTCCTGAAGAGCGTTGGTAGAGTCCTGACTTTTGCTAATAGGTTCTGTGAGTTGATAACTCAGGGTTCAGATACTAGCTGAACGTTTGAATATTATTCGCTCCTGATGCCAGCGACATACTCAACCGCAACCTCAGGAGACGTCGTTAACGCCAGTAGTGCGAATGAAATACCCTGGAGGTCATTCCCCCCGCCCCCTCCCAGAACCCCCTCGCGATCTGTTGGTGTCGAGTGAGGACCCATGAGCCGATATTTTTCACATTCTAGAATGAGGTGGAAGCGCTGGTGTAGCGCAGTGCCATATACGGCATGCAGTGCTTGTACGGGGAGAATATTTCGACAGCAGGACTTTGGAATTTTCTGCAGATCGCCGTCGTTCCACTACAGTCTTTGAAAACGTCATATCGGCTCCACGGGGGATCAATCGGCCACGATGAATATTGTCGTTTACCTCGAAAAACAACCAACGTATTTTACCATACGGCGAGCCCAACAGGGTAAGAGGTCTAGAGTGTACGAGATATCTTGATCGTACACTCTAGACCAGTATGCATAGATGATGGGGGGGGGGGATGCACTCCTTCCATCACCAAGAACATACCAAATCCTCATTTTAGTTGTAATATCATACTTAAATTGGGCTTTACCGCATCTCATCTGACCACGCTGTGATATTCCCAGAAATTCCAAGCTCTCGCGAGCCAGTGAGTTTCCGAATTCGGGAATCTCCAGGATATCAGTGACGGTCCGGGGGTCAGCACTTGGTACTCGTCGTAAGCTATTATACGATAGCACATGTGAAGGGTGTCAAGGGGCTACACGATGACTGTGAAATCCTGCAACTATAGTACTGTATCTGAGATGCAGCGTTTAACTGGGCTGGGCGGGGTGAGGAAGGTAGGGTGGGGTAGGGAATTGGGAGTTGGAATACTAGTTTGCATTGATATGGAAGCCCCTACTGTTGAGGAAGATGGTACTGACAAATCAGTTATTAACAACTTGAAACGTGGCACCAGTACTTGCGACGTTTCACACTTTTTTCCCTTGGAAGAACTCCTCACATAACATCATCCTCAATATCTATAGAAAAGAGGTCACTAAGCACTCCCAGTGGTCCAGCGATCAAGGAACTGGTCCGAGTAGGAAACGCTGAGAATTCGATTCCTAGATATGGCGAGATAGATGAGCATTAAAGGGGGGAGAAAAAGGAAACACCTGCCAGGCGTAGTATCATATTGGGGAGGGGTAAGGTTGGTACCTTTGCCCGGGTGAGTAGAGACATATCGTAATAAGGAAGATAGATGGAAACTAGTTTCCTAGCATGTCGTCCCATGGAAATGACATTTCCTACACTCTCACCTCCATCCCATCTGGCATGTTAAGACTGATTTTTCCAAGTTGGAGGTGTTTCCAGGATTGTACCCCCGTATTTTTGCAAATGGCGCAGTGTCTCCCCTGGAGGGCAGGACATTGAAAGCCATCCGATGGGTTATGATGGGAGTGGAGACGATGGGACGGATTATATATATTCCATCAAGTCCTAGAATTCAGGATTGACATGGAAGGTCGCTGCTCTTGCGTGCTGGCTGGCATCACAACCCGGAACATCGTAGCTTTCGGCATTAGCGAGTGTAGAGCCTAACGTGTTATAAACCAGAGTAAGATACACTATATACCCCCGAAGACAAAATACAGTAAACGGCATCATATCACAACCCACGATAAGATCCGTACTGAGCTTTTCTACGAAACTATATACTTGGCAGGCTCTCCCGGCCCCCTCGAGGATATATAATACCAGTACGGTATATGAAAATCTCCAGGCAGAAGATGTAGACATTGCTTTGACACAACCCGCGCCAGGCCGTATGCCTGTAAACAACGCAGTACGAATGCAGATGTGTCGAGAGCCGTTTCACGACATCATACCGGATAGATATCACGTTGTAGTCAAGAGTGGGTTTCCCAGGACCTATTAGGGAGACGGTCAAAACTTTTATCATATCATATATCATACCTCCGGAGGTCTGTACGATACGATACAACATAAAATGCAAGAACCTCACATATAATAAACCCACGGCTTTAATTGCCCCGGCGCACTCCAGCAGGGCCTTAACGATGGTGTCCATGATACTGTAATCAACCCATAGGCCACCGTATTATATTATACCGGTAAGATATGATGTGATATGATATATGGATTCCCGGGACAGAGGGCTAGTCTAGAGGTTTCCGCCGGAGATAATTGGCCCAACCAACCAACCCGCTAATTACCCATCCGTCATCCACCGAGTTTCTCCAGATTGAGTACGGATCGGTATTGTAGACATGTTTAAGCTATTATGGCACGCCATCACTGGTGACCTATGGGAGGTTTTCCAAGAAAAATAAAAATCCCCCTCCGGGCATGGGCATTCCCGATCACATTATAATACTTGAGCACAGTACAGCACAGTACCGGGAAAACACTCGGGTTGACGACTGTGCACTGTTCCACCGTTGGTCCCTCGGACGACGACTACCGTACGGCCAGAATCTGATTACCACAGCTTACGTTCGATAACCTGAGCAGTTTTTTTAAATGTTATCTTTACATCCGTCACCGGCTCAAGATCTTTTTCGCAAGGGAGGCCCTGTACTGTACTGTACTCGTACCGCGTCATCATGGAGGTTTGTTTACACTTTGTCCACGCTTCTGTTGGTGATGGATGGATCCCCCAACAGATATCCCGCAGCCTATCGAGATATCCGCCTTCCAGGAATTCCCCGGCTGCTGAGAGGGTGAAGAGGGAAGAGGGTTAACGTTGCCGGGAATGGCTTGCTCTTGGTATAATACGGTACAGTACACACCGTACGATGGTATTCCGAACCGCCTATAACATCTACATACCGGTGCTCGAGTACATACATACGGTACATACAAAGACTGCGACTGTGTAATTTGGACGGTACGGTACGGGACAATAGATGAGGCACCTTTCTAGACCCCCTGGGCCTTGGTGTTAGCGCCGGTACTGTATATAGTCTACCGCTATCATACCATAGATACGGCACTCCACCCGTACTCGTAGACAAACCTCCCAGCAGCTTCCCAACAGAAAAGCACTACCCACCCAACAAAGTTTGGCAAACCCGGATACCGGTAAGTCATAGAGTGGACTAGACTAACTACCCGGTCGAGTGAGCACCTCGCCTTCAACTTTCTTTCGCGATTCGGAAACGGGGGGACCGTTTGAAGGTATCATGCTTTCGTCATGGCGAGGAGAGGTTTTTTCTTCACCAGCGGTTCCCTGCGGCCAACCGTGTTTTCTGGCCAGTTCGCCGCTGTTGGTGGGGTTCGGGAAACTAATTCCCGTTGGGGAAATATGAGTGTTAGCGGGGAGCTGGAGAAAGTTATCGATCGGGTCGGGGTAAGGTTATTCGTGGATTAGGGGAAGGCCCAAAGTGATATCTTGATGTTGAGTTGGGGGGGAGGGGGTTGTGGTAGGTCAATTTGGGGGATTCGCGATAAAGTTAGTGGTGCTTGTAAAACACGATAAGTTAGTCGTGTGGAACTGCAGGTGCAGTGCGTTATAGTGGCAAAGAACACGGCAAGAATAAGCTCCCGATACTAGGCTTCCCATCCTCAATTCGATAATCTGCACACTGGAAAAGAAAGCCCAATAATCACAGCCCTATCCTTCTTGCACTATACCCCACCCCCTCACTCCACCGCCCTGCCATCCTTATATCCCAACAACCTCCCCACCCCCCGACCACTCCCAGCCTCGACAAACCCGCCCTGAAATAGCACATCCAAGTAATGCTGCACAAACAAGTGCCCCCGCCCCTCTCTAACCAAAACCCTGCCGGCAAACTGATTTCCCCAGCCGTCCGCCACCTCGGCAACATCCCCGCCAGTCATGAATCCCAGTATCCCAACCCTGCTAACGTACTCCCCACGATTCGCGTAGTGTTCAAGGTGCCGCAGAACACCAGAGCCCGTATCGTCGTGCCGGTAGAGCGGGTTGTTGAATGTGTTGGATGCGTTGCCGAAAGTGTAGACTTCTAGGCGGGAGAGCAGGGAGGTGGGTATGTCGGCGTAGAGCATATCTAGCACTAGCGAGGTGATGAGCGCGCCTTGAGAGTGCGCGATCAAGACCACCTTCTTGTGCCTCGGCCTGGAAGCGGGGATGGGGGAGGAGGAGGAGGAGGCCGAGGAGGAAGGGGCGGATTCGAATTCCAGCAGCGCGGCGCGGAGGTTGCGGTATAAAGCCCGTACGCAGGTAGAACTATAGCGCAGGTCCCGCTGGATAAGGCATTGTAACAGATCGAGTACCAGTCCATAACTACAATCCCGTCCCCCCACCCCCACTCGCATGCGCTGTCAGCCCACACACTCCATTTCCCCATCTTCACCCTGGCGGAGAGGAGGAAGCAACACAAACCTCCGATTATGCACCCCCCAAACCCGCCTCCCGAACCGCCTCTCGACCTCTTCGACGTTAGACCCCAACCAGAACCCACCCGTCACGACCCCATTCACATAGAACCACTTCTCGTCCTCCTTCTCCCCCTCCCCGCGCACGTATTTCCCATTGCTGACCACAACATCCCCAGCCTGTCCATTCAGCATGAAGGAGAGGGCCAACGTCACCGCTGTCACGCCGACGAGCCAGCAGAGCCACACCCCGCCGGGCAGGAATAACCACCCAGGGATCAGCAGAAAGGAGAGGAGGCCGACGAGGTTGAGGATTATGCCCAGGACTATGGAGGTGATGTTGCCCACAGAGTAGGGGTAGAGCTCCGCGCGCGGGTTTGGAGTGCGCCACGGGAGGACTATGGATGGCAAGGAGGAGAGGTTGGAGATCAGGATGTAGAAGTCCAGGAATAGAAGGTAGGGCGGTGAGTAGCGGGTTGGGGCGGGGTGGAGAAAGGGAGTGTTGGCTTGTGTGTTAATCATCGGGGTTTTTCTTTTGTGTTTATCTGGAAGGGGGGGCGACTTCCTTCTGGTACAGTACGTTATTGTCTACTCGTAGTTCCTGGAGATGTTTTTGAGTCTTCTCATCTAGCGGTGGGGAGAGAGCAGAGTAGAGTCCCGGATACAACTGAAAAGGGAGCGGGGTGGGAACTGGAACGGATGGGACCGAATGACTCGGAATGAGACAATCTCAGCCTCAGCCCTGCTTATTATAAAAAAGTGCAGTACCGGTACGAGTGCCGTGCAGTACCACTTGTGGGAAGTCCCGTTCCGTAGCTTATCGGTTCGTCCTTTAACGGTCTTGGTACAGATAAGAGGCATCACATCCCCCCCCCCCCCCACCGCCACATTCATTCCCATCTTTTTTTTTTTGCGGTCCCCTTCTTGATTAGATTTCGCATTCCCTACCTTAATCATCAGTCCCAACGGTTCTTTCGGTTGCCGCACTGAGTGATGGGTTATGATTACATGTGAAAATTGTCTGCGTGGTCATGTGGAAGGGTGTTATGTTTCTCGCATGGTAGGGACATTGGCCCCGGTGGGGATTTCTATCAATCTGATTCCATTTGATTCTCTCGACAAAGTATGATACCAGTATTCTCCCATTGAGCAAAGGTCAGCAATAGCCTTCATCCCCCCTCCCCCAAGCCCTCCGCTTTCAGTGTCACCCCAGTTGAAGGAAGCGCACCCAACCAGGCTCGATGAACCACAGTACCGTATCTCCCACCACAATAAGAAAACACCGCCCACACATATGCCACACGGCCCCTCACATTTGTCAGCATTAAAAGTCAAGCCCTTTGTCCCCCATCTGCCCTACAGCGGCTCGCGCAAGTCGGTTTGTATGGAACCCCGTCCATCAGCAACACGCATAAGACAAGTTCTCCCGATTCAAATCCTATTCCCCCATTCATCGATCACACAGATGAAAAGGGAAGAATATCCTCCACGCCATAAAAAGTATCTACACACAAACTAGCCTCCAGGCAAAGCAAGTACAAGAAAGAAAGGGAAGGACACATGCTACCGGGTACTCCCCATTGTCAAAAAAAAGAGACAGGCGATAAGATATAATTCAAAAGCAACAGCAAAGTAAACGAAAAAGGATAGTACTACTAGTTATAATACCTCAAGATAGGTCAAAGCCCGCGTTTGAATTCACAGAGTAAAGGAGCTTTTGTCGAAGGATTTTGGGATCCCTGTATCGGGGGAGTTTGAGAAGGTTCACGCAAGTACCTATCATTGTTAGCGTTTAAAGCGAGAATAAATGATATGGTAACATACTAGCACTGCAAAGTCTCCCCTGGTCCTCACCCGCGTCTCTGATACTAAATCTTGGCCTCAAAACTCCGAACCCTAATAGCGGTGCTCGGGCGACGCTGGTCACAAACTTCAAGACCTTCCTACGCTCTTCATCGCCAAGAGAGCGCATGACCTGCCAGAATAGTCGTATGCTCTCGTGCTCCACGCCATCGTCGCCAATTTGGTAAACACCTCCATAGATAGTGTTTCTTCTCAAATCTTCCACATCGATCGGCGTATCAATATCCCCGCCCACTAGAGTTTGCAACTCTGATTGGTTGAACATGGACAGCCAGCTTGGGTTTATAATCGAGTTCAGGCCTTTCAGAAACGCCGAAGTTTGAATATGGGCCTGCACGGATAGTCGGTATCGGGAAACGAGGTGGATGTATTCGAGCTTGTTTGCGTTCGTGACTGGAATTGTCTCCCCGTCAGGTTTAAGTTCCACCGTGATGGTCTTGTCGTGTCTTGGAAGACGAGAACTAATGGTGAAATCAAGCCCAAAGTCGGATTCGACATCGCCCGTGTAATTCTTAAGCTCCACAAGTCCTCGGTAAAGGCCCTCGTCAAGATCCCGGAGGTCATTGACACCAACGGCCGTACTAGCTCCAGAGCCTGAGGCTTGTTGACTCCATTTGAGGAGGAAGAAGGGAGCGAAAGCAACATCCACGAGAATTCCTTCGTACAGACACTTCCCGAGCACTCTTCCAAGAAATTCGTACCTTTTCAACAGTGACTTAACTTCATCCCCGATCATGTCTTGATAGGGGCGTACTGTCCCAATCAGCTCCTCCTTGAGCTCCTCGATGCTCATTGGGTTAGGGTACAACAGATGCTGTTCATTCTCCAAGAATAGATTCTTGCCAAATTCGGCAGCCTTCTCAGCTTCATCATCACTAGGCAGATCCGTACCATCACTGTCGGCCTCTCGATCAGCTCCTGCGATGACACCTGGTGTAAAAGCATCTCCGCATACACCTGTCAAAAACTCTTTTGTGACACCACCACCATCAATCCCAGCTTCCTCGACACCAAAACGGTCAATAAAAGTGATTTGAATGGGCTCCTTGAGGCCCTCTCCTAAGGGCCAGAACTGCTCATAAGCGTCTTCAAACACCCTGTTCCTCCTGATCGTTGCGTGATGCTTATTAAGGGTATCCCGGGCATCCTCAAGCGGACCCCGCGCTGGAGAGCTCCGCGATAGGACGGAAGCCCTCCATTGATCCGGGTCAACAAATCCTTCGCGGCGCCGACGTTGGTCGCCTGAAACAAATTCCCGGAATACTTGCACCCTAGTAGCAAAGGGAATAAAGAAGGGGAGATTCTGAAGTATCTCCAAGCGCGGAGTGATGGTTGCTAAGTGGAATTCCCGCTGCTTTCTGCGCTGAATTTTGTTCATCAATTCCAATCGCAGATTTCGCCGTTCATACGGACCTAACGCAGCAATCGCTGCTTGATCATACTGACGTTCCGGTTCCTCGCCATCTTCCTCCTCCTCCTCGCTCTCCAACCGATGTCTGTTTTCCTCCTCCTGCACGACGGCAGGAATGAAGCCTTCGATGTCGAAGCCGGCGGCGGTCATAAGCCAGTGACTAGATGGGAGGAATTTTCGCCTCGAACTATTTCAACCTTATTAGAAAACTTACTAATTTATGTGAGGAGGGGAATAATACTCTCTAGCGTAGATGGCCTTCAAGAGCACTGTCACAGCAGTTCTCAAATGCTCAACCTCCCACCCCTGGTCTCTGAAGATAGACCCTCCATCAGGTTTCTGCTTGTCCTCTCCCATTATCTCCCCTCCCCAGTAATACATCGCAAAAGCCAGGTTCTTGAGAAATACACTTAGATTTTCTATATCCTTTAGCGGTAATTGCCGGGCCTTTTTATCTGCCCTGTTGCCCGCAAAAAATTCGTCATCGTCCATAACAAGAAGCAGAAATCCATAGAGCTCAATGAACAAAAGAATCAAGTTCCATTCACCGTTGTCGAAATCTCCTATAGAGGTGTCATCGGTGGATAGGTTTCGCCCCTTCAGGCTGCTCGCGACCAAGTGAATATCCCTGGTGACACCTAGAAACAACTTTGATCGCCTGACGGCTGCCCATAGATATCTCAACGGAGATACCCCATCCTTAGTTTCAGCAAGACAGAGCCACATACAGACCTCTCGCTTCACTTTTGGGAATACCAATAGTAACGTCAGTGCAAATCCGGCGAGCATTTTTGCTTGGCGATCATCGTTGCTGGAGAAATTCGCACGCGAAAATATGGATGTGATAGAAGGCTGTTGGATCAAGCTCTCGAGCTTAGATTTGACAAACGGGGGTAACGGTTGGCTTTTGTTCCCATGAGATCTTTCCCCACTCGATACACCCCCATCCTGCTGATCACCCTCAACTTCCATAGATATATCTTCCACCTCGGCTCTCTTGCTCGCCTCATTAGCGACCGAAGAGAGGAGAAGAGACATGACATGAATATAGCTCCGCTCCTCAAAATCGCTGCTGACAAATGTTTCATCTCCAGTGAGGTCAATTACTTGGCTGTCAGACATATTGGGGGTAAATTGGATTATGTAGGATAACATCCATAGCCTCTCTTCACTCGTAGCAACAACCCATTGTCCCGGGGATTCAGACATGGCCTTAATGAGCTTCCCAAATCCTACGGTCCCCCCTAATCGCTCAAAGCCGCTGTGTTGAAGGTGTCCCGGCAAGTCGGGGGTCACGAGGTAATTGGCAGCAAAATCCTGATGTATCTCTGCGTTCCTCTGTTCGCGCCCCCTTTCAACATGCTGCAGAGGGGTCAATACAGCATCTAAGATGTCTTCCGGTGAGGACATGGAAGAAGTGGTGATCCCAGAAAGGGCCTTGTAGTATGATGCATCAACAATGCCGGGGAGTTCCACGGCTAGAGAGGGTAGCACGCGTAGGGAAACAGCTGTCAACACCTCCTCCTGGAGCACTTCTATCAGTAGCCTCCCAAATTTTTCCATCATTAAGTTTCCGCGGCCATCTACCCCCCGTTCCCTAACCCTTAAGCGTGACCTCTCGGGAGCTCGAGATAGATATTGAGTCATGAAGAGAACCAGAGTTTTCATTCTCAGCAAGTCTCCTGAATCCCTCTTCTGACGCCTTCCGGGTCTATGCCCCCTCTCGTAGAATGCAAGAAATAATGTAACACCGTACTCAAACCGCTCCCCCAAATCACTCCCTCGCCCGAGATTCCCACCAGCTCCTTCAGCAAAAACGGTATCCCACTCTTTCCTCCATTTCACCCTCTGGGCCTCAGCTTCTCTCCGACCTCTCCAAACACGTTGCACCGTGGTGGCGGCTCTTAAACGTTGACGCGCGGCTTCACGTTGAGCTCGCTCATGCTGGGCATGAAGGACCGATGTTTGTGCAGCTGGAGGTCGGGAGAATTGTGCCGTCCGGGATGGAGCAGCAGCAGTCTTCCGGCCAGAAAGGTTAACATTCCGGGGTTTGCGTGACGAGCCCGTGAATGCCGGGTACATTTCTTCCTTTCTTTTCTTTTTGGAGATGTCAGCAACCGCACACAAATGATATCAATCTATTGGACCCTTCAAGCAATACAGATGTTCTATCGATCCGAGAGCTCAAGTTCTGTTGCGTGAGATGGAGCAGTGGAGGGTTGAAGGCAAAGGATAAGGAATGCGATGAAGATGAAGGTCTGCGTGCCTTTGCGCAAGAGAACGTCAGGATAGAGGAGTTGGCGAAGGGGTGAAAAGGCTTTTTATCAAAGTTCGGTTTCTGTGGAGGTAAAATGGAATAGTGCAATACTGTACCGTAGTGTCGAGGGTGGTGATGTGATGGTGGTGGGGGAAGGTGGGAGGCGTCTCCGAAATCCTGCTTTCCCTACCGTTCTCGGGCATAGATAGGTACAGTACTGTACCCGGTCCTTTTTACCCTTAAATCCAGCGAACAAACAACCGGAAAATATTACTCTGCCTCTGCTAGATAGTTCCCTTAATCACCGTAGCCCACAGTCTGATGGAGTGGATGAAAGAGTGGTGACCAGTACAAACTAGACTAATCAGTTATCACGCCAGCTAGCGGTGCTCATCTCAGTGGTCGGTCCGGGTGCCACTCGTATCAGCGTACCATGAGTGCAGTACTGTACAGTATGAATACAGTGCGAGGGGGGGACAAAAAAAAATGAGCAGAATGGCATGTAACAAGCCAGACCATGTTACTCCACGCTTTCCATTCAATGCGTTCTAAAGCCGCCGGAAGGTTGAAAAATTAATAATAGCATGGTCCAAAATTCCTAATATCTCCAAACAACATTACAAAGTTGAAGCCTAAAAAAGCACCAATCCAGTCCATCCCCTATACGAGTAAAATCCTCAGAAAATGTGCCAAGACCGGGATGTTCCAACCACGGTATTGATTTCTTCACAATTTCTCAACCAGCTTAGATACAAAGTTCTAGAGAATCACAAAGCAAAACCTGGGGAACCGTTCCACATATAGGCAGACTGCTTTGTAAACATCACTGTTTTCGGAGGGGAATACTTAAACCGCTGAATTTTTTTGTCACCAGCCTCGTACAGCACAGTTGCGGTACCGTACTGCACGGTACAGTACTTTGCGAGTTCAGCGCAGTGTACAGCACCCATGAGGGCTTGGGGAGCTCTTTATTGGGCTGTTACCGATAAAATTGTTCAGTGGTTTGCGAGAAGCTTCAAGGGTTGATACCTCATAATGGAAACAATAATTTCAGACGCCAGATCCCAGATCGCCGGCGTACTGCACATTAGGGTCTGTAAGTTGTATCTTGAGTGCAGCAACAAAGTGTGAAATACCTCTTTTTTTCGTACTGCAAGTGATTATTAATTGTGCTGCCTCGGCTGAGCGTTAATTATTGGTCGAGGGATCGCTGCCTGACTCCAACCCAGCCGCGCGAGCATGATCGAGCATGATACACCTGCAACTTATAGACCACGCTCACCATAAGGTGCGACCAGATGATTCGTAAGAGCAAACGTGATCTTCATTTTGCTGCCAAATAATCTTCTTTCGGTGTGAAATTCAGTCTGAGGGAGTTTTTTTTTTTTCCCCACCTCCCCACCCGAGTTCATGTGTAGCGTATGATAAGTCACCGATAATTTTACGGCGAGAGTAGCAGCCACCAGCTTTTACCATGAATGTTACTGGCTATCCAGCGAAGAGGAGGCTTTATACAACGTGGTACCCCCCCGGTAATAACGGTCCGCATTTATACTGACAGCTAGGTGCTTGTTGTGTCTGCCTCCCATGCCCTCTCTTTAATGTTTTCCCGGACTACCGGTAGACTAGTAGGATAACAGAGCGTAAATGATTCGCACTGGGAACTGGGTCTCTTAAGCTAGCTGGGGTTTAATAGTCAGCGAGTGAGTAGGTCTTGGGAAATTTTTATATAATTTTCTGCATGCAAACACCTTCCCACTCAGGCACAAAACAGAATAAATTGGGGAGCAATGTTACGCCCTTCAGAGGATCAGTTGTTTAACAGCCTTTGGGGAACAAGTGCGAGTACGAGTACTGCACGGCACGGCAGCTGTAGCTTGAGAGACACGGCACCGGTTGGTGGGTCACGATTTCAGTTTACACCCCGCAAAGGATTGTACTCGAGTACCCTACGAGTTCTAGTACACCATCGCATACCGTCCCCATTTCCGGGTAACTATTGGTGCACCGAGATCCACTAAGACACCTTCCCGCAGTTAGGTCTCGAGAGGCTAAGTACCGGTACCGCAATCTAGTACAGTCCAAGTACTACCGGTAGGGTGTGAGCGTACGGTAAGTCTGTTGAACTGGCTAATTCGTTGAAGTTACTAGTATAACCGTTTTCTTATTTTTTTTCTGAAGCTATGATCAATCTACGCTAATTTTCGGTGAGGGGAGAATGTCTGTCGAATTCTTGTCTAGCGGCCAGAGCGAGTACCGTCCTCTGAGTGGCCGAGAGGCCGACCAGAGGGAGTTTCATAGACTTAAATTTACCCTTGATACCCGGTACAATACGGTAAGGGGTGATGGAAGGCGATGGCTCGTAGCCTTGTTGGCACTTGAAGTGCCTTCTGCCATGCATGCCCTTGTGCCTGGCATGGCGCAATCTACCAGCAGCTTCAAGTGTGAACCATGTTTTCTACCATCACACTTCGAGGAGATAATAATGTCACAAAATTTTCTTGCTCCAAGACTTTCCAATACCGGACGGAGTTCATCCTGCAAATTGCTTCCCCTTTTCTCCTTTTCATTTTCTCCCTTTTTGTCACTTTTTTTCATTTTTTTCATTGTCCTATTTTATACTTGTTTTGCCCTGGCCCTACCGTATGCTGGTAGTGCCATGCCCGGCAAATTGATCTGGGGGCTTGTATCAACAACGCTGGTTTCAATGAAAGCGACAGTTTTGTTAGAGCATAGCCACCTGAGGAACACAATCGTGAGAATGAGTCAGTGGTTACGGTATTTGCGTCTGTCATTCTAGTAATAAGAAGGCCTGGAGGACAAGAACACGGGTCACGGAGCAAGAGAACAACAGGACGGTACCCCCCCCGCAGAGGAGATCAGGAGGGCGACAGGGTCAAGGCACAGCTACCTGCGAGTAGCCTCTTTCCTTTCCCTTCTGTTTGTATCGTAAGAGGCGCTATCTGGCTTGTCCGTAATGGGTTTGATTTTTCCTGTCGTGACCCGGATCCACTGGTTAGAAGGAGTGCCCACCCCCACTTCATTGAATCGCACCGGACACTTGGTACCGGTACCGGTACCGGTATTTAAGAACCACTCTGCGCGTATGGCAATCGAGTTCAATGATACCGGTAAAATCAAATGTCTGTCTCCGAGGTATGATACTCGTATCCATAGCCGCCAGTGGCAACACGGTAGCTGCCGCCCTCTTCTCCGTAATGACCTTGACGGTGGTGCCAGTAGGGTTCTTGGTGGCTGTCGCTTTTGGGTCAGATATTCCCGGAACCAGTACTTAGGGGATGAGCATAAGTGAGGCGAATTTGGTACTTACCTGGATTTTAACCGACCAAGGTTTGGTGAGTGTAACCATAGAAACAGCCAATCTCAACGTTTTTTGGAGGGGAAAAAAGTGAGGCCAACTTGAAATGTACCAACCCTGAAACTTCCGGCTCTGTCTTGACCGGGTGACCTAGGAACCAATGTGAGCTGTTTCGCCTCACTTGCCCTGAACCCCCGGTACTTGTACTCGAGTACTGTATTTAGTGCTGTTGAGGTAGTGAGGAGTAGACAACCGGTAAGTGCAATTCTCGTGATATAAGCAAGGTGTTGTGGGGCGGTTGTTTATCCACATGGAAAGCTCTGGGGCTGGGAAGAGACTCATTAGAGAGTTTGAGCAGACAGACCTATGTGAGAGTTATTAACAAGGTTGCTAGGGGCTGCCACTCCCATCAACAGCCCATCAGACTCCCGACAATTGCTGAGTTTCTCAAACTCCCTCCATTTAAGAGGTCAATACGCCAGCCAATTCTTTTCTTGAAGCTGTTCTTGAGAAGAATAGCCACAAAAAGTCATACCTGAACGGAGGCATAAAAGTGCAGTGGAGTGGGCATTTGTGGCCCTCAGTTCCGGGTCCGATTTTTTTAGGGGGGTTTTTACACCTCAGCCCGGTGGGGCTAGAGGGCCAGGTGGCCAAGCCTTGATAGCTTATGTTAACGCCACCTAGGTCTCACGCCTCGAGGTACGGTACGCAAACTCTCTATTCAATGGCCGGATGGTCGGATATCTCTTTTTTTTTTCTGGGGTTTAACCCTACAACACTGTGCCAACTGACCCTCCCTTGCCGATGCTAACAACCGGTGCCCTCACACCTCCAGTATTCCTCCACTGAGCAAATCCTCGCACTTAATTTATGTGCTCCCCACCGTCACGGCCTTGCTTGTCTCTTGGCAAGCGTTTGCCGCGCCAAGAGAACTTAGACTAATGTGTTTGCTTTATGTGCAACTATTCATCATTCTCTTACTGTTGACGTCGCATTTTCAACTACGAGCACAAGTAGAAAACTCGATAGCATCATACCTCACACCAAGATGCTTCCACGCACAGCATCTGTTCGATCATCCATTCTTCGTATCTTGCCACGACACACTTCACTTGCTCCCCGATCGAACCCGGTATTGTTAAGAAACTTTGCTTCTAGGTACACCCCACCTCCAACTCCTTCAAAACCTATTGGCCCGAGCCAAGATGTCCTGCCTCACATTAGTGAAGAGGGTGCCATAACCGCCGGTATTATGGGTGGAGAGGGTCTATACCCGATGCCAGGAGTACCGATTGGAGAGGTGAGATCTTGATTCCAAACTGTCGGGAATTGGCAATTCCTGACTTGGTATCAGATGTTAAGAACCGACCCCACCGCACTGCAGAACACGCCCAAGCTCTTTAAAGGGATTCCCGGGGTAAAAAGAGAATACTCCACTACAGCAACTCCGATCGAGCCTCCGCTTCCTGAAGCTCCTGCTGACATAGCTTCTTCTACCGCTCCCGCACCTGCTCCCACACCACCCCCGGTTTCTCCTGATGCCTTTGCCTTGACGATTCCCGGGGCTAAATACCCTCTCCCAAAACTTCCACTTCCGTCGTGCTCTCACCTTAAGCATCGCTATTCTACATTACTGGAACAGGTCACAAACTTTATTATGATAGGAGGTCGAAAGGCCAAGGCGGAGTCTTTGGTCGACCAGATACTTGCCAATTTACGGACCCGCCCTGCTCCAAAACCAAGGGAAGGGACCCCACTTCTCCCTGGGACTCCAGCATTGTCTACACTACCACTGGATCCGATTCAATACCTCCAGACAGCGATTGACTCTGTCTCTCCGCTGGTCAAAATTTTAATGCTAAAGGGTGGAGGAGGTGCTAAGCAACCCGTTCCATACCCACTACGCTTGCGACAGCGGAGACGATTTGCGTTGACATGGATATCTGCGGCTGCGGATAAGAAGAAAGATAGGCTGGGGTTTGCGGAAAGATTTGCCGATGAGGTTGTGGCTGTTGTCGAAGGTAGAAGCTCAGCATGGGAAAAGAGGAGTCAGGTACGCAACCCCTGACATGCTATTTCTGCCATTGGAACTTATGAAAGAACAGGTTCATAAACTAGCCGTAGTATCGCGTGCCAATGTTATTATCGATCCTGGAAGAACAGTGGCGCCTTCAAAAATCAGGTTCCCCATCGCTGTTCTGTAGATTCTGGGGGGAAATCATTGATATCATGTGGACTATTTTTCTCCTTTCCCCCCTCTCTCTATTTTCTGGATTTGGACTCCCTCTTAGGCATGGCACGGTGCATAAGGCATTTGTAAACTCACATATTTTAGACAAAAACATGTTAAGAGGAAAGAAAATTTTGGAAATTTCACCATTCACCGTAATATCTGACTTGGCATTGCCAGGCGAGAGAAATATTCACCGTCTGGTTGCGGTAAGAATCCTTTTGGGGAAAACGCATCTCTGGCCTTTCGCGTCCAAAAATTCTCCACCAGCCTTGCAAGATATTGTGTTCTCGGTGCTGTTCAAGAGAGGGCAGCGGTGCTGTACTTTCGCTGATGATGAGATACCGGTAGACTGGGCGAGGAAAAGAAAGTTCCCATACTAGCCTTAGTCATGAGGACACCTTATTGTGCAGTTGTTCAGCTCGTTTTTATTCTAGACGAATTTAGGAAATGGATGATTCGAGCAGTGTGGAATCATTAGGCTCCCAAGAAATTAGGCCCTGTTTGGCACGCCACCATAAAAAAAAATGCCATATTTCTGAAAATAGCATATTTTTTGACAACACAACCATACTAACTCAATAGTAGAATTTCAGGCTATAGTCAGTTAGAGGGAATCACACTGCTCATTCAGGCAAAAATAACAGACAATTCAAGTGCTTCTACAGGTAGTTGAGCAGTTTGAAAAATAGTGATGTTGCAAAATACAACATCTCTGGGACCTCCATATTTCCCAATATCACTAGTTTTCCAACCTCTCAATTAGAAGTAGTAAAATTGTCTTTTATTTTTATCGAAATCAGCAGAGTGATTCCCTCTCACTGACTATGGCCGGAAATTCTATTATTGAGTTAGTATAGTTCTGTTGTTAAAAAATATGCTGTTTTCAGAAATATGGCATTTTTTTTTATGGTGGCATGCTAAACAGGGCCTTACATTAGATATTACAAAGAACACAGGAAATCTAGTGGGATACACAATTGAGGGTGGATCGTGGTACTCGTGTTTGATGAAATTCCGGTGGCCTTTTCTTATTTCCCTTCCCCCGCCGTCGCACGTTGCGTACGGTAGACACGCATAGAGGGTGGAGGATTTGGCGATGGAATGGAGATGCAATCATCTGGCAGGGCGCGTGGCTGAGGATAGCAACGCCCGCCACTTCTCAACGCCACCGTGTGAACCTTCCTGTGATCTCTGTACGGTACTAAGTATGATACCCGTCCGGTACGGTGCTGGTATAATACTCTCTCTACAGGGCTTCTTTTCCCTACTTTTTTTTTTTTTTGTGTGAAGGTTTTAACTTTTCTCACAAGACTGCCTCACACAAAGGTTCCTGTCCTGCTTACACACACCCGTTCTTGCTGCCGCTTTTTCTCCTGCTTCTTATCCTCTCCCTTTCCCACTTTTTTTTTCCCCTTGAAGAAGACCACCGACAACGACACCCTGGCTTCCAATAAAACCTTCAACACCCTCCCCTCTTCCTTCTAAAACCCCACACAAAAAAAATAGAAAATCTTTCAGAAAACCCTTCCTGTTAGCCGCTAAAAAAAACAAAAAACAAAAAAACAATTTTTTTTTTTGAACCTCAAGTCACCCTTTCTCCCGCTCCATCTCACCCCTCGCTCTCTTTCCAATCCTTTTGTTTCACGAAACCCCACCATCACTGCTCACCACACCACATTTCACAGGCAAAGCGTGACTTCAGACCACTGATCCCGTACTTTTTCTTGTCTGTACGGGAATAAGAAAGGAATTACGGGCATATTAATTTAGCTTGTGAGTATCTTTGTTGTGGTTAGTTTCACCGCCCTTACTGGTCATTGGACATTCGTGGTCTTTTGACAATCAAACCTCCGACGCTGACTTTCTTTCTCCTGATCGCCAGCAACAGCAAGGGAAATTAACCATAAAACAGAAACCACAATTACTTAGCCGATTTTAGGTTATTCACGCGCAGTTTTAAAAACGTTCGTTAGCCCCTCGTTGCCCCTCTCCTAGCTTTGCTCCGATCTTCGTTTTTCGCCATCTGTTTGGCGTTTCTCTTGCGGTTTTCGTCCCTCCTTTAAAGAAATTTTCTCACCTCCGGTCCGAAAGAGGTAAATCACCACTAATCTCGTTCACTATAGTTGTTCCCATAACAATGTCTGCCGAAGTCTCCTCATCTCCAGCTCCTCAGGAGCAGATCGAGCAGCCCATCAACGGGTCTTCTCCCACCCAGGATCCCACTTCCGATAGCGATGCCAATAACTCATCCGTGGCGACCCCGAGCAACACTCCTCACAACTCTCACACCTCCGCCTCCCTTTACGTTGGGGAACTTGAGCCGTCTGTGACTGAGGCAATGCTCTTCGAGCTGTTTTCCACCATTGGGAACGTTGCATCGATTCGTGTTTGCCGTGATGCAGTTACCCGCCGTTCTCTTGGGTACTCTTATGTTAACTATAACAACACCACTGATGGTGAACGTGCCCTTGAGGAGCTTAACTATACTTTGATCAAGGGTCGCCCTTGCCGCATTATGTGGTCGCAGCGTGATCCTGCTCTTCGTAAGACCGGGCAAGGCAACGTTTTCATCAAGAATCTCGATACTGCTATTGACAATAAGGCTCTTCACGATACCTTTGCTGCTTTTGGTAATATCCTTTCCTGCAAGGTTGCCCAGGATGAGTTTGGCAACTCCCGCGGATACGGGTTTGTTCACTACGAGACCGCTGAGGCCGCCAATAATGCAATTAAGCATGTCAATGGCATGCTTTTGAACGAGAAGAAAGTATTTGTCGGGCATCATATCCCTAAGAAGGATCGTCAGAGCAAGTTTGATGAAATGAAGGCCAACTTTACAAACGTTTACGTTAAGAATATCGATCCGGAAGTTACAGATGAGGAATTTAGAACTATGTTTGAGAACTACGGTCCTATCACTTCTGCTAGCCTCTCTAGGGATCAAGATGGCGTTAGTAGAGGATTTGGTTTTGTTAATTTCCAAGAGCACCAGCATGCCGCCAAGGCTGTTGAAGATCTTCATGAGAGTGAGCTCAAGGGTCAGACTCTTTATGTTTCTAGGGCCCAAAAGAAGCACGAGAGAGAGGAGGAATTGAGAAAGCAGTACGAAGCCGCTAGAGTTGAGAAAGCTAGCAAGTACCAGGGTGTCAATTTGTATGACTCAATTGTGTTCTGTGATTAATCGGCTGAATTTACTCTAACTCTTCTATTATAATAGGTACATCAAGAATCTCGATGACGAGATTGATGATGAGCGCCTCCGCCAGGAGTTTGCCCCATATGGAACTATCACTTCTGCCAAGGTTATGCGTGACGAAGTCTCTAAGGAAGATAAGGACGCTGAGGAGAAAGAAGGGGGTGGCTCTGGGAAGAGGCTTGGTAAGAGCAAGGGATTTGGTTTTGTCTGCTTCTCTAGTCCAGAGGAGGCTAGCAAGGCCGTGACTGAGATGAACCAGAGAATGGTGAATGGTAAACCTCTCTACGTTGCCCTTGCTCAAAGGAAAGATGTTAGGAAGAGTCAAGTAAGTAATCCTTTGTGGCTAGCCCGGAACTATACTTGGCGGGGTGTTAATGGAAAAATAGCTTGAAGCAAGTATTCAAGCTAGGAATCAGATTAGGATGCAACAACAAGCTGCGGCCGCCGGTATGCAGCCCACTGGGTTTCTTAACCCTCAGGTGTATTATGGACCAGGCCAGCAACCCGGGTTTATGCCTCAAAGTGGCCGTGGCCTCTCGTTTCCTCAACCAAGTATGATGCCTATCGCTGGTGGCCCCCAGGGCGGTCCCGGTGGGCCTAGTAGTCGTGGCCCACAGGCCGGAAACTTTACTCCTAATACTAGTCGCCCTGGTCCTCAAGGCCCTATCCCACAGGGTATTCCGCCGCAGATGTATGGCCCTCAAGCAATGGGCCCTGGTGCAGGACCTGGTGGTCCTGGGTTTGCTCCGTATCCACCTAATCCTCTTGCTGCTGCCCAGGCGCAGGCTGTTGCAGCTTCTCAGCAGGGTCGTGGACGTGGTGGTGTGCCTCCTGCAGGAATGGCCGGATTGCAACAGGGCATGGCTAATATGAGCATGGGCCCTCGCGGTCCCGTTCAACCCGGCCGCGGTGGCCCTCGTGGCAATCTTCCTCCCCAGACACAACCCGGTCGTCCTCCCGTTCCTCCCCAGGTTCCGCACGTATCTGCTAGCGGAATTGATCCCACCCTATTTGCTGCCTCGCCTCCTCAGGCCCAGAAGCAGTTGCTTGGTGAATCGCTCTATCCCAAGATCCAGCGCCAGCACCCTGAGCTTGCTGGGAAGATCACTGGGATGCTGTTGGAGATGGACAATATGGAGCTTCTTGCGCTGTAAGCTTGATCGATTGATTATTTTATCCATCTTTCGCAATAACGGCTAACATGTACCAAACAGTCTTGATGATGAGCAAGCTCTAATCGCCAAGGTCGATGAAGCTCTCAGCGTCTACGACGAGTACGTCAAAACTCGAACCGGCGACGATATTGGAGGACACGAAGGTGCCACGGCTAATGATAACGAGAACAAGGGCGATGAGGGGAAAAAAGAGGGTGAAATTAAAGGTTAAGCTTAAGGCGTCTTTGGGATAGAACTTTTTTTTCTCTTTTTCGATTTTCTCATGGGTGGCCAGGGGTTGTTTGGGGGTGGTGACCAAAATATTCTTTTTCCTTGTCTCTTTTTCAATGGGTCATTTCAATTCACTGTTCTTACTCTTACGTGTGCAAAATTTTAACCTCCTTTTTCTTTCTCTGGGGAATGATGTGTCCTTTGGATTTTGTTTCATTCCAGTTATCGGTCTCATCGGCAGCCCGGGTTACGAAAGGTTGAGTGCTTTTGTGGTTGACCGGAGCTACTGGGGCATGAGTTACGAACCAGTGGAAATTTTAGGGTGGGCGGGGTTCTGGGATATGGTTCGTTTTTTATTTTTGTTCTCAGCTCTTTTTTTTCTTTTTTTCTTTCGGTTTTCTCTGGTGATTGAAATTCGATTTTCTTTCCTCACTGCTCCACTCTTCCTCCACTCTTCCTCCATTTTATCTTCAATTGGTGTTTCCCTATGCCGAAGCTGAGGTGAGGTCGGGTGAGGTTTATATCGGTATGAGTGGTGTGTGCGGTAGGGCGTGTCCGACAGGTGTGGAATGGGGTGGATCCGAAGATGGGGATAAATCACAATTGATATAAAAAAAGCCGGAAAAGTCGAAATTAATAAAAAATAAATAAATAAATCAGAGTTTGTTGAATGCACATTTTACCTGGGAAAGAGTGCGGGTTCATCAAGGCACTACGGTGTAGCTCGATTAACTTCCGTAGACTTCTGTGGACATTATCTCGGTATGATGAATGGCCTTGCCGGCTACGCATAAACGATATCTCTTTGAATGGCGACATAAGTTAGCTGGGTACGGGTGAGTTTTATAGTACGGTTAAAGTACTCAGTACTTTAACCGTACTTGGGCTCTACAATTGCTGTAAGAGTAGAAGTGTAGAGAGCTAAAGCTACGGTAAGATGGTTTGTCACCATTATAGCGTCTATGATGGAATTCTTGTGTTTGTCCCTGTTTTGTTCGGTGCTCTGCACCCTAAACCGAGGGAGTAACATGCGTCGGTCGACGGTTATAACACAAATAAATATCCTTAACCTGAGGTTAGCCGGCGTCAATGTGCAAAGCTGGGGAAAGAGTGAGCAGGGGTAAGTTAACGCAGGGGAAGCATTTCATGGTGGGGGAAGCAGGACCTGTGTAGGATCTGATATCGGTCCCGCTGGCTCCATCGGCAGATTGGAGCTCCGATAAATAAATCTCTCTGGATATTCCCCTTCTCGACCTTCCCTACCTGACTTAAACCCTTATCCACCAAATTCACCGTCACAGCAGGAAATATCCTCCATAACCGGGAACGAAACATCACCCTCTCGAACCCTGGGCACCTCGAACCGTATGCATTCCCCACCTTCATCACCATTCACCCGGAGAACCTTTTGATCCTTACCTTACTTTTGTCCCTTCCCTCCCCCCCTCCTCCTCCGCCTCCTCCTCCAACACCAACACATTCTCCCACCACAACACGAGCCGAGGATGGAGAAACCAACTTCGAAGAAAACACCGTCTCCGACAGCTCAACCTTTTGTTCCTGGTCGTCAGGCTACCCGTTCCTCGTTCCTTACTTCGGCACCTACCTTAGCACCATCGAACGCCAGCACTGCAGCTTCTAAAGAACGCGTGAACTTGCCAGCCCCGTTGGTTCCTTGTAGATACTTCGCAGCAGGTTACTGTCAACGAGGCCCCACTTGTTTCTACAAACATGATCTATCATCGGTAACACTTCCTGGCCTTGAGAACGCTGATAAAGGGAAGAAGGCCCGTGAGCCAGAGAATACAGACATTTGTGCAATATGCTACGAGATCCCGGCAACGTATGGGCTCCTGACGAGCTGTGATCATGTTTTCTGCCTTTGTAAGTTTGCTTCTTTCGGGCTATTATTTATCACGGGAAGTGTCTGTGACTGACGGCGTTTTCTAGCATGCATTCGAGCCTGGAGATCTACATCTGCGCCGGATGCTGTTCCAGATTCGGAGGGTGGCGTCCTCAGCAAGACTTCGAAGACCTGCCCGCTGTGCCGGGTCCGCAGCAAGTTTATTATCCCCAGCAGTGTTTTCCCTCGAGCCGCCGGAGAAGCGCCGGATGAGGGGGAGAAGGTCAATACGGCCAAGGATGCGATCATAGCAGCCTATCTCGCAAAACTTAAGACTATTCCTTGTATGACCCCATCAGTACTTACACTGCTGTGCCCGCATGGGTGGCAAGTTGGCAGTCAAAACTGATGAGATATACGTAGGTCGTCATTTTGCCAACTCCCTGCTGCCCAACGCTTCTCCTCGCTCCCGCCGTGATCTCCCCGATTGTCCATTCGGCAATGATTGTCACTACCAACACACGTTCCGTGGATCCCCTTACGTCTTTAGCGACTCGGAGCTGAGCGCTCAACGTCGTCGTAGAACTAACAACCCCCGCCGCCTGGGATGGATGGAACGCCTTCTTCTCGGTGCAGGTCACGATTATGGCGGTGATTTGCCCCTACCCTCACCCCCCTGGCCTGTTTCAGAGGAAGAGGCAAGAACTCTGATGGAGATTATTCTCGAAGGTGGTGACCCCCCAGAATGGGACGAATTTGAGGAGGAAGAAGAAGAGGATGAAGACGATGAGGATGATTACTATGAAGATGTTGACGACTCTTTTGATCCCAACTGGGAACAGCGCATCACTATGGAATTCTCAGCTCCTCCTAGGTTTAACTCTCGGAGTAGGTGGTTGCGGGGCCCTGCGGAAGAGGACGAGGGCGATCTCTTGCCATTTTGAGGCGTTGTTTTCTATCCATCTCTGGTCTATTCTTGCGCGGGGTGAGGGTGCTGGGATATTTTAATGCTTCTAAAATCAGATTCACTAGGTTTAGTTTCGAGAGACGCGGTGGGGGTGGAGTTATGGCATGTAGTGTCACTCGAATCAGATTTCTAGTAGTCTGAATTAATCTCTACTTTTTTATTGCTTCTCCTTGAATAGGGTGACTAATTCCATGGCTTTTGTTGGTGGAAGACTTTACAGATGGAGAAGTGTGAGAGGGCTCGGGCAATCGCTGGGCCCACTGATTTACATAGACATACGCGGACATTGGAAGTTATAGTGCGTTAGTTTAGCTTGCTGTCAAATTTATTTTCCAGTGGCGTTGCTCCTTTTCATCTGGATTTACCTTTGATTTTCTGCTCACCCTCTTGTCTCCTTTTAATGTATGCTTTGTTTCTGTTCCAAGTCGGCCCTCCTTTCTTCATCTGCGATTTTTTACCCTTTTCTTGGACTCGGTATACGTTATCTAGTTACTTGGCTGGCTGGTGAATTTTTTGTATACAAAATAAAGCACGGTAGACTGGTGCTCGTCCCGTGAGAATACCAACACAAAGTCAACTGTTCACCTGGCCAATTGTCCGATCCAATCCCGTGCTGCCCATGTCTTTGAATTGACTTGGTCCGTAGCTGGTGCTCAGATGGGTTATGGCCGATACTATATTTTTTTTATCTTTACGGAGTGGGGAGGACTTTTATTCCGGGTCTTGTATTCGCTATTTATTCTGCCTTGTGGTGGGATTTTGCGGTAGATTTTCCAAAGCATAGGGCGTTATTTCAATCACTCCCTGGTGTATGCTGGGTAATTCGATTTTTATGGTCATGCGGGATCACTCGCGGATAGCACCATTGAGTAATGCCATTTGGGGTCGTTGGGGTTATAATATCTTATTTACTTATGACACTTAAGCGGAGTTCTGCAAGCACCCACGCACCCAACCGTGTGCGATGTGTACAGAAAAAAGTATCGCGGATGATCTGTGGGGATTTTGTGGCTGTTGGGCGGGTAGTTGTGGCATCTGGTGGTATTGTCATGCGGCACTGGTTAGACTGGTTGGACTGTAACTTACCGTACAGTACTGTGCAGAGCTCCCCCACTCTCAGGCTGGGATCGAGATTGCCGCTTCGGGCACGGGTGCGCGGGGAAATTGGGATGAGGGGTATATCGCGGTTCGCACTCCCTTACTGGGTCTGAGCATCATGGGTTGAAAGGGCCGAAATCAAGCTTTACATCTTACTCGTGTTACTCGAAGGCAGTAGAATATACCATTTACGGCCATACCTCCTATCCTGAATAAATAATATACCAATGGGCAGAACTCGGTATCAGAACCTGATAAGTTAGCCCAAGAGTTCATAATGTTGGCACAGGACCTACGCACCGGACCATACCCACCACGGGACAGCTCCCCTCAGAACTATCCTGCCTGCCCCGCCCTACTGAAAACCAACCTGCAGAGACGAGCGGGAATCCGTCTGGGAGGGGTCGGTGTTGTATCATGGGATATTGGCGCTTGGCCTGCATGTTGAAGGCTGCCTGTGGATGTTTCGGTGGCGGAGCATGCCTGCACGCGCGCCTTGAGCGTGTTTCCCCCACTTTTTGGGGTGCGGTTGGTGGGACTGTGCTGGGGGATAGGAGTAGACTCCTTGGGGTGGACGAGGATGGAAGGGGTGTGAAGTGTATAGAGTGTGTATGGTGGGGGGATTAGTGGGGTGGCTTTGCGGGGTGGCGGTGATTTCTAGGGGAATACGGTACGGTACTGGTATCATAGTATCATACCGGTACTCGAGCACGGGAATCTGGTCATTCGAGGGGTCTTAAGAATCCACCAAAAAAAGAAAAGGATTATCGATAAATAAGTACGGCATGGAAAAAAAAAAAAAAAAAAGCAGCTCGGCCATATAATATTATAAGGCAAAAAAATGGCATAAGCTTACGGTCTTAACCTTACCCGTGGTAGGAATAGGAAGTACGATAACAGATCAAGAAGGATGGCTTATGATATCATACAAGATATTGCGGTGCCGCAGAAGGGCGCCAAACGGCCATACAAGATCTGTAATACAGCAAACCATGAGCACTCGCCGTACACTGGGCGCGGGATGAAATTATAATTTCTTGAAACTAACAAGTGGTGGGAACTCAGCTCTTACCAAACAAGTTTGTGGTATCATACACTGGGCACCAGTATTATATCTGGAGGCATATACTGTATATAATACATACAGTACTCCATCGGAACCAACAATACCCAATGTCCCCCCATCCAGAAAAAAACGGTAGAGAAGAAGGGAGAAAAAAACGATTCTCTTTAATTAACTGTATCATGAACTAGGCACTGTTTCCAAAATCAGCACGCCCTATTTGGGTTTTCTGTCTGGATAGCTCGTTCTTGTAGTCCTGGCATGGCGTTAAGTTAGCTTAACTTATGGCAAACTGTAGTATCCTCTTGTGCATTTATATATATATATATATTTTTTATAGAAATCCTTATGTTTTGCGTTGTCCTGGAGGTTGTGATTTCTCCGACTTGAGCTGTTCTACTACCATTCGAGAACTCTGTAGAACCAGGGGGTGCTGTGCGTGATGGAGTGAACATGGTATCTTATGAGTGGGAATCAAAATAGATGGGGAAACGCACCGGTGGGTTCGCTAGGAACTCGGACATGTTTTTGACGGTGTCTGGTATAATATGATACGTCCATTACGGACTCCCCAAATGGGGGGTTAGGTTGGGTTCTGGATATCTGGGGATGGTATAGATCTCTTGGAGGGTTTTTTTTTTGCATGGAGGGAGAGAGGTGACTTAGAAGAAGTTGAGATTAGCACAGGTAGGGGGTAATTGGTCCTTTCATTCCTGACAGCCGCCGTCTCGATATGATACTTGCGGTATTTCTAGGTGGGCTTTCCGCCTTGAGGGGCGTGAACTACTACCGGACCAATAGCCTGATTTTTATTTTATTTATGACTATAGCTACTCAAGTGGGCACTTTTGTCCGTTAGATCACCAGATTGATAGATGTCCAAGCCTTCCCTTGGTACGCGGAAGTAGGATTCCCAGCAAGGGATGGAAGGTATTCTGAGCAAGCGGTCAAAGTAACGAGCACGCTTCCGTTAATTACTGGAAATCTGTAGGTGGAGGAAGCTCCTAGGTTTCTATCCTAGTGATATATTAACAGGAAACTCTAGCGAAACATTCTATGATACATATCATAGCCAGCCCACTCCTCCCCTCGGAGCCGGAAGGGGGGTATCAGAGGGTAAGCAACTATCTTAGCTAAAAGCACCCTAAATGAGAGGGCAGTTCTTCTCTGGAAAAAAGTATGTCCGAACCATTGTATATTTAGAGGAAGACAAGTAGGAGAATAAAACCCAATTACAATACTCCTGCAGACTTCAATACTGATTAGTCACCTGTCACTGAAAGGTGATGGACTTCATATCCGCGCACGTGCTGTAGACATCTTTAATTTTCCAATTCTTCCATCCAGCACACCTCCTCTAAAAGCATCCACTGAGACGGAAGCAAAGGATTATTTAGCTGGGTAAAAAAAAAAAACCCGAGTTGTTATGGAGTGGAAATTTGAATCAATAACGGATCTATCCTCTTGATCTTCATCTCTACAGACTAGGATGGGCTGGGCACTGCCCGCACCGGGTCGCCCCTTAGTGCCGGTAAGCCAGATGGGCTTTGTGAAGCCCCGCCTTTGGCAAACACCGCCTGCTTGTATGAGCCCGTGGTTAATAGAGGTACATTATCACCTCTTGGTTTAATATCGACAATTCAAGGGGTCACCTTTTTCTCTCTTTTGTACATCGGCGTCCCCACCAGTGGCGGAATTTGTTCAGGAATTTGCTGGGGACGGGGTATGATATAATAATAATGAGGGAGAGTGTATGATCACTGATGGTCACTCGCAAGGCAGATGTTTCAAAGCCATGGTAGTAGTACAAGTATGTTGTATCGTTGTGCAGGGAAGGAGTAGATCGCTGCCGTGATCTTGCATAGGATTTGGATGTGCGGTGGGTGCATAGCCCAGGCGCAACGGGAGGTCCCGGGCGCGTGGTTTGTTGATCTTCCCTCACATTCCATCGCTGACCGTAATGCAGGGATAATGGAATCTATTCATAAGTTCGTCTGCTTGTATGTCTTTGAAATCTGTGCTATGGGGCTCAAGGCGCTTTCTGTAGCATGATGTTATAGAAATATTGTTGAGTATTATAGACCTAGTGAAGGAACCTATTGTGATTAGGAGATAGTAGCCAGCTTGTGCCGTAAAATCACCGATTGAAATCAATCCTTCTCGCTCCTCCCTCATTCTCTTACTCAGGGATTAAATCTCCTAAAAAAAATATTTTGAGGGTCGAATAAAATACATATTTTAGAAAAATGTACGCTGCTTATGCAGGATTCTACGGTATTGCACAACCCCTCATAAATACGATCTCACATTCTGCCCGGAGGTAACGGCTGTACGATAAGTAGGGATGTATAGATAGAAGCTAGCTTTGGGAAAGTTACGCTTGCCTTTTTCCTGGAACGAAGCGGGTGGCGGTATGCTTGTGCGGGATGAATTGATGTAGAATACTTTAATACGAAGAATGTGATGGTGCATTACATGTTTTTAGAAGGTGGGACTGCACATATCTTATTCGAATAGTATCATACTGCGAATGTTCCAGGCTCTAGAAATTGCCGCACTATTTGTGTTTGTGTTTTCTCATATCCTTTCAACACCTGCTGGAGGGAAAGTGTCGGGTAAGGCCTGGAGATTAAGGGCTGTCCTTCGGGGCACTCCGGGGGCTGGGATGAGTTCCCTTTTGATACGATTTGGTAGGGTTCGAACACTTGAAAAGTGGTATGATACGAGGCTTGTGAAAATTTGTTACGTGGCTGTGCTACGATACATTTTACTGTCAAGAAAGTCTTACTAAGGCAGGGAAAATGCATTTTAGGGTCTTATAGTAGGGTTTATTAACATAATAAATTTAAGTGTGGTGATTAGATTTAAATCTATAATTATGGTAAATATACTATAATAATTATTATTATAATATAATATAATATGTTGTGGTTTACTAAACCATATGTGGCTGACATAACATAACATTTTTGACACTTCTTGCCGAGTCTCCATTTACAAGTTCATAGGACCTAAATTTCTGGTACCTTTTTTGAAGTGCTCGAACCATAGTCCGTGTCTCTCTGAGCATCAGTACCGGGGCCCTGTCAGATCTGCTGCTGCAATAATAGACGACCTGAGCCACAAATGTAGTTCCCCAACTCATAAAGAGACTTACCCCTACAACTATACATAGTTGGAAACACTTTGGTCGCAAAAGCCGTGACTTTGAGGCTCATTTATAGAATCACCGCCCCTCTCGCTCCTCCGAAATGGCTGGATTTTTCAGAGAAGCATTACCCACGCGAAGAGTGTAATGCAGCTGTATGTTGGTAGAATACCTGGTATTGGGAAGTGTCTTCTAGGATCAAGGGTCGATATGGGACGTTTTGAAACACGAGACATGGTCTATAAAATTAATTTTTCCAGCACCTCTGGTGCATCCGGCTTATCTGAAGGATTCGGCCAACTCGGAGCGGGATCAAGGATGGTGAGTTGGGCTGCTAATCACCATACCATGTGAGCCTTTTAGTAGTTCTATGGCCTCCTGTCTGTTATTATACAAATAACGAATCGGTAATTAGTGTTGCGTATGGCCGTGTACCATACAATCGGCCAACATATAAAACCCAGTCCTGACCCCGACATCCAGATCCCCGAGACCATATCCCGCCTCATTGAGTTTGCAGGAAAACCCTCCTTGTACAAAATTTTCCTGGGTTCCTATATCTCGTGACCTCCGGGATTCCGTGGAGGAATCACAATATTATCTGCTCATACCCATGGTCTGACCTATCACCGACTGTCTTGGCTCGAGAGTACGCACCCGTCCTTTTTATCTTGTACTTTAATGCACAGCAGCGAATTTTTTTTCTTCCTCGTGACGATCAAGTTAGGGACTAAGGCTACGGAGTAGTATGCCCAGGTCACCTCCCCGAGATCTCCCGACACCGCACTTTAGCCGTTGAGATCGATTTTGCTATCGGGAGTGCGACATCTATCTCGTACGAATCGTGGCACCCATAGAGGGGTATCTCCCGAAAAAGTACTTATCTGCAAGTACGATCTGATATCCTTGGAGCTAGTGCCGCATTTCTAAAGTAAAGTTGGTTTGGGCAAGAGCGTTGGACTATTTATCGGATCACAAAGAGATCCGGGCGTTCCGGGGCAGAAATTTGTGCAGTGAAACAAAACGGTACGTGCGGGAGATCGATGTCGTATTAGCTCTGGGGTCCTGATCCTCTTAATCGCAGATAACGTCACTGCTCTCATGAGCCAAGTTCGCATGGGCCTGCAGCATCAGGTTGTCAAACTGTTTTCTTTGCAGAACCAGGTGTCTATGACCGCTCACCAACATGTACAGTGCGCCTCCTGCTACAGTTTTTGTGCCATGTGGAGTCGTCGCTGATTTGAGGCGGAACTGAATACCCCTATTGTGGGAGTTGATAAACGTAACATTATCACAGTTATAACTAAAGTCACATGAGTCATGACCAGGGTCTTACAACCCGACATGCTCAGCTGATAGGGCTCCGGGCCTAGGGCAACCTCCAGTGATGAGCTTCTTGCAGGATCCAGAAGTAACCATGTCCCTTGGTCCGACTGTATACTCGGATCCTTAATCCTAACTGGCCAAGGTTGATTATATCATCATTCCGTCGCCCTATGGATTAATCAGAACCTAATCACAGACAGTCACTCGGCTTTGGTTCTGAGGAACACCCGGGACCGAGGCCTTAACGGTAGTATCATATGATACATGACTTGATCATCTGAACGGATTACAGTAGGGGCCCGCAATCCACTTCTCTACCCCTTTTTTCGGGGGACTGAATTGTTCAACCAGGCAGGCAGGTTCGGAGCATCCCAGGCGCATCGCCTTCCACCACAATCTTGTTCTGGGTACGTTGTCACCCCTGGCGATATGAAGAGATACGGCGCTTGCACCAAAATTATCCTACAACAGCTATCTGCTCACTGAGTGATAGCTCTCTGGTGTTCTGTCAGGGGTGCTGAACTGTTCTTTGGGGCTTTGGTTTCGCACTACAATCGCCAACACTCCTAGGCCACTGATTTTGTCCACGATCTCTTGCACTGACCACGCCTTGCAGCGGTGAAAAAAAGAAAAGAAAAGGGAAAAAGACAATTACCTGCTTCTGGATTTGATTGACTGGAGCGAGCAGAGAGTTATTTTGGTGACTTTGCACGTCCATCTCAGGAGCGAATCTGAGACATAACGCCAAACACAAGGAATCCTACCCTCTTGTTTTCTGGCCCATAGGCACAGGGGAGAAAAATATACTTCCCATCTACTTTGCACTTTGCTGCGGAGTGAGAACGCACTCAGAAGTGTATATGGAGACCGAATGGCGAGCTCAATTGGAGAGAAACGTATACTTTATAACGAGTGGAAGCTGAGGAATAGATTGAGCCTAGAATAGTCTAGTCTCATTCACCGTATCATACCCGATATTTCGGAATATTGTGCCCCTGCAAGAACTTCCGCAAGTAGGAGAAGCCTATGCTGTATTAGGCTATCTCTAACCTTTGCCGCCGGGGGGGGAGGGGCTTCGACGACGAACGATGAGGATGACCCTATAGTCGCATCTTTTTTTTATATATTTTTCAGGGAAGGGGGAAAAGACATCACGCGGCATGTTGCGTAAGTTGGAGGCGGCCGGCTCTTGGAGGAGCAAGAATACTTGTTTGGAGACTATTTGACGTCCGGTAATTCAATACCGGGGCGAGATCGCGGCATCAGTATACTGTATTGTCCTTTTTTCCTGACTCGCATAGTGGAGGATTAGGGTTTACATTATGGTTGATCCATACAGGAGTAGGCAGCACAAAACAGGCCATCTGATTTGCCCTTTTCTTCCCTTTCCTTCACCGTGCTCGATCAACCACTGCAAGCAAGCAAGCATGCAAGCGCCGGCCGGGATTCCATAATGCGAAATACCCGCCAAGAAAACTGAGCAGAGCTCGCAGCCTGCTCCAATCTGCTGGTTCGGTTGGGTTTCTTTCTTTCTTTCTCTCCCCCGCCCCACGCGCACGGCACGGCATGGCATAACGCAGCGCACTACACGAGTACGAATACCGCAAAGAAGGTACAAATATGCATGTATGCTGGTTCTGCTTGGCAGCGAATGTCTAGCTTATCACCCGCAAACTGTAGAAGAGAAAACCCGTGGAGTTTATACGGCGCCGTACTGTGCTCGTGCTCTATGTGCGGGGAGGGGGGGCAAGTGTACAAGTAGCGCAGCGCGGTGCGAGTTTAGTGGCACCTGTCCAAGGTTGAGATAAGCTAGGCTAAGCTAAGCTGGAAAAATAGAAAAAACTACCGATCCAGTAGCAGACGCTGGAAAGCGAAGATACGGTAATGTCGAAGGTTGTGGATTTAACCTTGATGGACCAATTATTTAACGTGTGGTATTTAGGAGCGGGGGGGACAGGGGGGGATGGATACTGTATGGTGCCGTACTGGTAGTGAAGGTAGTCGCATTGGGCAGAGAAGTGCAGTGTATAATAGGCAGGCAGAGGTAGGCCGGTTGGCGAACCCAACCAAGATGCCAGAATTTTCCTCGGGCAAACCTAGAGCAATCGCAGAGCGCAGCACAAGCACGGGCGGGCGGGCGGTCTGGCAGGGCAAAGAGTGTACGATACTGTACTTACTGTACGGAACCGTATGAAATAGAAGCTCCGGAAATTGGCCACGCTTATGCAGCCCGACAGCACTGGATATTTCATACCCGGGGAGGGGGAGGGGTCACGAGACGGGATAGAAGGCGAAGAAAAGGAAGAAGTATGATACTTTACTCTGCTCTACCGTACTAGTACTGTGCACCCCATCTCACTGGCATCAACGTAAGCACACGCCATCAAACTCGCGTGATACCGTACTTACATTTGTCTACTATACTATACACATCCTACAAGTACTAGTACAACTTCCTCATCCCGTAATCCTACGCGGAGACTTCTCCCCCCTCCGCACAGGCCATTCCCATCCGTCTGCCCCCTTCTTCCCCCCTTCCTTCCTTCCTTCCGCAGAGCCGCAGCAGGGATCCGGGATTCTCACTCTGCAAACCGTACCAGAAAACTGAACTGTAGCGTGTGTGCGGTACCGTACTGTACCGTACTAGTACAATTTGTGCAGGCGTTTGACTTGACTATCGATAAGTTCGGCGGGAGTTTCGGCTCTTGTGTATTTTTTGTTTTTTATTTTTTTTATTTGCTATAATATTATAGGGTAGGTGGATGGATGGGTTGAGGAGGTGGGATGGGATGAGGTGAGGTGAGGTGAGGAGGTAGACTATGTTTGTGCTTGGAGAGCGGTATAGTGCTAGTTTTGGGGTATTATGCCATGCTGTAGCTCCATCTGCTCTTCCCTTCTCTCGTAATTAAACCATGTCTTACTCCGACAAAGTCACTCCACTATCCCGAGATGTCCAAAGTATCACCATCACCATCTTCACATTCACCCTCCCCCCACAACCTCCACTTCAACAAGCCCGGTATGCAAACATACTAGTAGGACACTCTATCAATCGATTCTCTCGTCTCTTTCCTACTTTAATATCCCTACTTTGTACACAACCATCCCCTCCAATACACCTTCCCCGCCTCCCCCCAACCAACCAACCGACTCCTTTTGTAATAAACTCAAAAGACACCAAACCCCCCGGAAAGGAGAAAACAACAAGGAAACCCCCCCGTTTTACTCTAGCATCCTGTGCCATCCATTTGCCGAAGAGGGAGGAAAGAAGGGAAAATAGAATAGGCAAGGAAACGCTGGAGAAGAACAAAAGATGAAAAACCAAACGCCGACGTGAACGCATAACGCATGAGAAACGTAGAAAATAACTATGACAAGTACGTAAGGAAAACAGATCATCACCTGGAATTTCCGCTGAATGAGGAGGAAAGAATGAAAGAGGAAGGAAGAAAAATCCCAAACACCCTATGCTCCGTGATAATAAAAAATAGTAAAGTCACAAGAACGATGAAATGAGGAAGGAACCATGCTCTTGCCTTGACCGACCTGACCTGACCTTGCCGAGATAATAATTGATGAAACAGTAAAACGTAAAAGGAAAACCATGGACCATTTTAAAGAGAAACGACTTTTCCGGATGAGAATTAGGATGGTATTTACCGGTCGGCGAGTGGGTGCCGTCGTGGTCATCTTGGAGATGATAAGGAGGAAGAGCGGGGCAGCGAAGCGTTTGTTTGCTCCGTTGCGTCTATAATAGATGGGAGGAAATGAAACGGGATGGATTTTTTTCAAAAGGAAAAAAAAAAGGAGGAAACACACTCGAATTTGAATCGCGTCCGGTCGTTGCAACGATTTGGTATCGACCCCGTTGGGGTGAAACCGTGATGATTTTTGATAAGGAATCACCGCTCCCAAGTATTGCTCCGTCCGATACCCATTGCGGGCAAGCGCATACTTTCGTCAGCTGTATTTCGTCTCCTCAGAGATTCTGGGCCAACTTGGCTCCTCAGCTTTGCCATTCGATCCCATATTTCTCTCTCGCTCCGTTTGGGGAGTAATACATTGACTTCATCGAATGACCTCTTTTTATCTAGCAACAGTGCGTCTTCGCTGGTGGTCCAGGGCTCCATCATCGGTTCCTCCATAATGTATCGCCCCGGGCAGGAAGGGGGTGACGGTAGCGGGCTCGTCTGGTAAAGTGCCATCTGAAATGGTGCACTTGAGGCCCAAGGCGTGGATGGTGGAAGAGGGTAAAAGGCCGAGTGAGGGCGTAGAGGGGATTCTGCCGAAATTGGGGAGTAGTGTGGCATCGTGTGGTGCATTTGTGGCGTGTTTGGGTTTGTCGATGGAGCGGGAGAGATGTTGTTGATGCTTCTCATCAGGATTTTGGGACTCCCGGAAACGGTGCCTGTGGTTGCGGTTGCCATCTCGTTGGCGAAGGACGTCGACGTTGTTGTCACGACCGGTGGACGGCGGTGGCCCTGGTAGTACTTTAGGGTTCCGGATGCAAGGCGCCGCCAGCGGAACTGGCAGGCATGAGATGTTCTTCCCGGGACTACACAAACAAACAAACAAGTTAGGACTAAGGGGCTTCCTTGATTGCTTGGGTGACCGTTTGCTCACAGTGTGTCGCAATCTCCTTCCATCCGAGCCTTTGCTCTTCCTTCAATGACTTGAGCAGGATATCGTCTTGAGGATCCCATGACATGGGAGTTCTCGGGGTTTTCGGCCTGGTGAGGTATGCCAGTTAGCAGGTGATAAACGAGACGAAAGGGCAGTAAGCGTAAAACTCACTTCTTCCTACCCAGAACGTCGTACTCGTCGGTATTGCCATTATTAACTCCCGTCCGAGGGGAGCTATCCCACCTTAGTCAGCTTCCTCTTTCTTTCAAGGATAGTCAAATTCGAGGGCCGAAATTAGACTAACCTCCTGGCCTTTCGCTGCTTGCTCCCATTCATGACATCGGAATCGACCTTCGGAACATTAAAGTTGTCCAGGCGATCTAGCTCACACGTGGGACTACCAATCTGCGACAAACTACTTCTCCGTCTTACGAGCCCAAATTCATACGCAGTGTTGTAACCGCTAAGGGGAGTAGTCGAAGTCGAAACAGAGCTGCTTCGTGTACTACCGGAAGCCGTGGTAGTGGGAGAACTTGCCGCCGACCATTGGCCGGAAGGGGAGGAGTCTCCGGAACTATCTGAAAGCAATGAAGGGATTGACGGCTTCTTGGAATTACGGGAGCTTCGGCGTGGGGCTTGATGCTGTTTGAGCGATGAGGGCTCGATAGGTGCTGGTGTCGAGGAGGTGGAGGAAGGGTTAGATTGATTAGATGGAAAGTAGCTATCCATGGGGGGCAGGAAGCTGTCTAGAGGCATCGGTTGAGAGCTTCTGGTTTGCAACTGATATGAACGAATTGGAGAAGAAAGGCCTGTAGTATTAATTGGAGGGAGAATCCGGGAATCAGTGAAAGAGGTAGTAGTCGAAGTCGAAGGAGGCATGCTGGATTCCCTTATGCTGAGTAGAACTGAATGCATAGTTAGGTTGATGAGCTTCAGCCCGTATATATAGATATACACAATATATGATGAGATGAGGGGGGAAGGGGAGGTTGTGGTGTGGTGTGGTGTGAGGTGTGGGTGAGGTGGGTAGGTAGGTATGTGAGAAGAGTGGGAGGGAAGTGGTCGTCGGAGAATTGAAAGAAAATAGGAAGACACATACCTTTATGGCTTGCGACCCACGCTAGTCTGCAATACAGCCGGCTGCTCCTTTTGGGTCACGTTGGGACCGGCAAGGTTGAGGGAGTAGACTTTGAGAGTTTATTTTTATGATCCCGCAGGGGATGAAAACTCAATACAAAGGGGTGGCGGACACTTCAGTTTGAGTCAATTGATCACTAGGATCGGTAGATTTCCGAGAAGATGGGAAAAACAAAGAGCTTTTTTCCTGCTTGCTTGCTTGTTTGCTTCGATGGGCGATGCTATAGAAATCGGGGAACCCGGAATAGTTTCTTCTCGCAGCTACTTATTTGTTTCCGCTCGAGTGCGGCCTTTTGATGGGGGGTGGGTGGGGACGATGATGGTAGTGATGATGGTGATGATGAAAGAAGAGTGATGGGGGTATTATGTTCAAATGGGAGGAGGGGGGATTGGTGGGAGTGATGGGATTGACTGATGGGGCCGGCGGAGGAAGAGGGGAGGAGTGGAGAGGCGTGGGCTTTGTTAATGGGGAGGAAGAATTGGTACGGTGGAGGAGGGGGAGGAGGAGGGATGCTGCAGGGCTTGATGACGCTCAACGAAGGAAAGGTGCATGAAGCAGATCAAGGGCGCTGGGAGAAGACCGGATGGAAAAGAGGGGTGTGCACAGACAATGGGAGGGGAAGAGGGGAAGAGGAGGAGGAAAAGAGGAGAGGAGAGGAGAGGAGAGAGGTGTGTATAGGCAGGATGTAGGTATTAGAACAAGATGAAGAGAGGAGGTACTACCAAGTATGTATGTAGTCGGCCAGATAGAGTGAGTTTAGATTGATTGATTGAAAGATTGAGTGAGGGGATATGAGGGAGAGGGGAGAGGAGGTGAGTTGATAGAAGAACGATAGATAGGGAAAGGCAAGGGAAATGTACAGTTACAGTGGGAATCAGCAGTATAAGCACGCTAATGCTAACCAGCAGGAAGCAGCAGGCAACATATTCTTGTGCTGCTCATGCCTCTTACTGCTGCGTGTGTGTGTGAGGAGAGGAGAGAGATGGCAGATGCAGTCGGTATTGGCTCGTTGCCTTCCTTCCAGACTGGAGAGGCGTCTTGCTGGACATGAATGCTCCAAGGAAGGGCGAAATCTCTCTTTTTTTCTTTTCTTTTCTGTTCTTTTCTTTTTCCTCTTCCCTTTCCACTTGATGCAGCAAGCGATTGCGCAAAAGGAAAGGCCCGGGGCAAACTTTGTGAAGGGGTTGATTTGGGTCGCTGGCATCCGCATAGAGGGGTGGCCGAACATCACCCATTGGGAGGGTCCGACAGGCAGACAACCTGGGGTGAGTGAGGTCCGTAATAGGTCATGGTTGCGTTTGAGGGCTATGAAGCGAGAGACCTGCAGAAGTCTTGGTCAAGCTAGATGTAGGGTAATCCACTCGTCAAACTCTCGCCCCTTCCCATCATCGAATGCCAATACCTATCGTACCGGTATATGATACTCGAGTACCGGGAACACACTGCGCTCGAGTGCACTCAGAACCCTCCAGTACTATCCCAAGCGTGTAGCGGGGAGAGCACCATGTACTTGCACACTATTGCACTACAACAGCGTAGCCATCAACCACACAAGCTATGGTATTAGTGGAGGCGGAGTGAAAAAGAAAAAAGAAGGCTTGCCTCTGTTTCTGATGATACAGGCATCGCGAGTGAATCCCTGGCGTCGACAGCGCCGCCTGTTGTGCCTGGGGTTATGGCTGTTGCTCGGTCGTGATAGCGGTCCATGGTGAAGTTGGATTTGGGTGTGCCAGTATTGTAGTAGTGCACGAGTACTGTAGTCTACCGTGGGTTGAGGTGTAGTGAAGAGACGTCCGCTGCGTGATACGAACTCGGTTGCCAGTTCTCTAGTCTACGCTTCTGTAGCCGAAAGCAGAGCACGGAGCTTCTTTCCACTTTCTCCTGGGTGTTGTCAACCCAGCAGCCCACCCACCGGAGGTCTCAGACTTTCAATGACAACTTCCTCCTCCTTCTCCCTCCCCTCCTCCTGCTCTTCCTCCGCCTATGATACTTGGTCATTTTCTCTTCGTGCCCATCAACGAACCAATTGATCCGCTTCTATCGTGTTATCGGCAACTCGTAGTGAATTGTCCCATTTCTGAAAATTCTCTCATATACATATGATAATATCATTTCCCTTTTTCTTCTTCTCTCGTATACCGGTGCTCAATTGATCATGTACTCGAGTACAGTACCGTGCAGTACCGAGCACCCTAGCGTACAGTACGTATGGCTGTCACGGAGGGCAGTCGATCCGCCAATCCGTCATCCCCATCAAGCCCTTTTTGTGACTTGAAGGCAAGCCCCGATTGTCCACTGTCATGGGTTTTATTTATTTATTTATTCAATTTCTATTCGACCTTCTTACCCCCTTTGGTAAGTTTTCTTTCTTTTTCTGATCCCCTATCCAAACATCATTCATTGATGCGAGGTGCGAGAGTACGGTAACCACTCCTCACCTCAATTTCCTGCAACGCTCCGGAACATCGACCGTTCTCTCATCGGGAATCAAATGTGGAAAGCGAGTCACTGCTCTGCGCTTCGCTCTGCTCCTTCCCGTATGGCAGCGCGGGTCACCACCTTGTCGATTGAACGAACGAGAGTGCCCATGAAGGAAAATAGCAATAATAATGATAATAAAAGAGAAAAAAGGAAATAACAAAAAAAGAAAGCAACCTGAACCAGAAACGTCAATCCACGCGTGCGCACCCCTCCTTTTCCTTCACCTCCACCACTGAAAAATCATCTATCTTAGAGCTGCCAAACCTGCCCACTGAGATATCACCCCTCATGTCTTTTTTTTTGTTTTTTCCCCTCTTCTCCTCTACCGAACCTCCCCCCTTCCTCAACCTCACGAGCTCTAACCTTACCCTCTCTAACTTTACTCACAGAACCTACCGTGCCCTGCACGCCCTCGCTCTTATGAGCAAGCTTTATTCACAAAGAACCCCTACCCTGGTCATTCCATCCCATCGGATCTGCTCCCAACGCAGTCCTATCATCGATCCCGCTCATCTCTTAGCCGACCCCCGAAAGCTGTGTTTGTTGTCACTTTCTTTTTTGATCCTCCTCTCTCGTCCCAATCCCATCCAGCCGGATGTGAACCCCGCCACACCTCACACACACCCACATCCGTAGACCCTCCAAAAACACGTTGTGTCGAATGCGCTTCATTCTCGCTGAAACGAGACTATCTGGACGGCTAATCCGTGTCCTTCGCCCATTCGTCGCACTGTGGGGTAATGGATAAAAAAATGGTAGGGGTGGGGGTTAAGATGAACCAATTTGACCGAGAGGACGATTAAGGAATGAGATGTGCAGGTGAGCAAGAAGCGATGCAGTGACGACCGGACTGCAGGGTGCGCTGGCATGGAATCGAAAGAGAGGAAAGTCACTTTTTTTCTTTGTTGACTTTTTTTTTTTTTCATTTTCCCTCCTCCCTTCTCATTACAATTTTACCTTAACAAACTATTTTTAACTCCTTTTGCTCCAGCAACAAGAAAAAAAACGGCCGGGTAACCGACCCTCACACTCCTCGTCGGTCCTCCCACATTTTCTTCAATGTCAATGTCTTCCTCTACCTCCCCTTATTTTTTTCATTTCCATTGTTTTTGGCTTCTGAAAGGGAAACGCTTTGACCCTCCCATGTTCCAACCAGCCTCCAGAACTATGAATTGTACTCGTACAGTATGATACTTCCCCTCACTCTCTCCCTATCATAGTTCTCGAGGGGGGGCTCGTACGTGCCATCTGTACCACCATACCATAAGCCTATCCTGCCTATCGACAGGTCAACAAAACACCAGCCTACCGCCGTTTTGCATGTGAGTGGTGTGGTCGGTCAGTCAGCGAGCTCAATTCAGTCAGCCTCCGCTTCTGCCTCTCTGCGTGCCTCTGCTAAGTAAAGTTCCCTTGGGCGTAAACAGCGCTAACCTCCACCAGATGCACACGCATTTTAGCGGGAGTCGCGCTCGCTCGTGCACCCTACCGCCTGCTTGCTTGCCTAGGTTGCCTGCCTACCCTGGCCTGCCCTACCCTACAGGAGCTCACCATCACCACCCATCGTCCATCATCATCACCATCATCGTCGCCAAAAAACCCGTTCTTTGCTTATTTTCGATGCTCCTTCCCTCCCACCCCCTCGGGAAAGCAAATGATCTACTGGATGGGACTGCCCGTTCATTGACTTGACCCTAACTAAGTTATCTTACTGTGCATTAGTGACCCTGCGCCATCCCACGAGGCGGGCGGTCGGAGAGCGCAACTACTGCGGCACGATGGAAAGTAATTATTTGAAAAAGAACGAGATATATTCGATTATTATTAATTATATTATTAACGACGTTGGGGCTGTCGGGTTAGGTTAACTTTTGCTGTAAGTTACCCCACAGGGAGTGGAGCAGTCAATGGCAAATTGCCCGCTCGCAGACTCGGGAGTGATGGAAGAGGGAAAAAAAAGACTCGAAGACGATGATGGTATCTGTGAAGCTAGGGATAGAAGGCGGGGTGGGGCAGAATGGGAAGAACAGGCGTGGTGGGTAGGGCGAAGTAAGTTCGGGGGGGGCCGGAGGGCCCGAAAGTGGTCAATTGAAGAGAGAAAGAGAGAAAGAGTTGGAGAAAGTCTTGAAATATCGGTACTCTAGCTATCTAGGTAGCCAACTAACTCTAACTCAACCTAACCTCCATCCCATTCATCCATCCCGAAATCCTCCTCTCCCGAAACACATCCAACCAAAGTTAAAATCCCAGCATCACTTTCTCTCTTCCCCTACAATATCCCCAAACCCCTACCATACCATCCCAACCCAATGCCACGTATCCCCGAGCGCCCCCGAGTCCCCATACTCCGGTCACAAAATCAGGAACCCCCCAAAATTACCGTGCTGTACCGCACTGTAGAGTACCCACCGCACATTACTCCCACATCGATGACGACAGACAGAAGGAATTCGCTTGACCTATCGTACTGTACACCGCACCGCAGCGCACGCAGCGAGGCCTGCCCTGCGGGCCGTTGTTTAACTCCCATACCATCCCACAACCATATAACACTTGCCGTAGCTAGGGTTTCGTAAATACCGTGCGGTATGATATGTAGTTTCAGCCTCATGCGATGATGGGGAGTAGATGGGGGGGGGGGGGAGGAGGGGGTATGTAACACGTCGGTGTGTTTTGGGTTTGGTGATGATGTTCGGGTGCTTGCCGGGTGGTGGGTGGGATTTGAATCGGGACCTTTTTTATTGTTCTCATTATTACTTTTTAATTCCACGTTCCGGTTACGAGTATGGCTGTGGATTTAGAGTTACCGTGTTGCCCGGCGCTGTAAGTTACCGGTATTTATCAACACCCGCCTCACATGTTAGTATAGTATAGAGCAAGTCTCAATTGTTTGAATCGGGGGTTCGTGACGAAACAATGGCATATATGGGCTACAGTAAGCTACTGTACTAGTACCTACTTAAACTACAAAATAGTGAATACCGGGCTGCCAAATTTCGGCGCGGTAAGTTAATAGTACGGTAGCGGAGAAACGACAGCTTTCCCATGCCTAGAATCGGTAACAACCCATTTCTCTAGTCATGATGATATAGTGTATGAACTCTATTTCTCAATTCCAGAAGGCCCCCAACCGAACAAACTGACCAAGCGATAAGCCAGCAGAGACGTGAAATCCATTTCGCATTTCTTCACCTCCTGCTCTCACCCCAAGAAAACGAAGAGGCAGAAGAAGGGTAAGCAGTTCAACAACGCTCAATTGCTGGCCCGTGTTGCATGACCCATCTAATTCCCACCCTGCATCTCGCGTTGTGGTCGTTGTTCCTATCCATCGTATCATACCGGTTGCGTTTAGAATCATCGAAACGATGAGTTGTTCCGTCCCTAGTTTTTTGTCATTCTTTACTTTCTCTCTTCCTTATTCTCATTTCTTTTCCTTCTTTCTTTCTCATAGCGTTTTTCCTATACCAAATGTATTTATCTTGTAGACGCAACTACTCGAGTACTGAGTCTTGACCCCTCGTGCTCCAATAAAAACAAAAAATAATCATAATAAAGATCATCGAACTGGAATTGGCCTATGGTAGCGAAACCCCTCTATTCACTTCCCATGTCGAAAAACGATAGGAAAGAGCTCAGGGTCTCGCTCGCACCAGTGCGTTTCGTATCCCGCGAAACATGAATGGGTAGGTAGGCTTACCTAATGTAGGGAAGGACGCTTAGAACCCCGATTTCGAGTATCCCGGCGGGGGTGTGAAAGGGAAATGCATATTGGCGCTCTGCCCCGCCATTGGCTCCCACTGGCTGGGTCGGATAGAAACTGTATGGGTGATATCCTTCGCTTCCCATTTTGATTACACTTTCCACCATCAATTGAAGGAGGAAGAAGAAGATACCATATCTGAGCCAGCGAGTAACCGTGGTCTCTTTTTTTCTTTTCTTTTTTTCTCCTCCCGTTACAGGACGACTTTGTCTGTGGTTGCAGATTTGTTCCTGGTACTTGTCGAGATGGATTAGCCGGCGCTTTGCTGCGATTGAGGAATGTACCGATACATTGGCAAAAAAAAAATATCCCCCGGGAATTCGGCCAAGTAATAGACCAACAAACGCAAAAAATAATCAATGACATATTTTCCAGGAGCGCCTGTCATTGCTGCCCTTACGGGGGGTTTTCTTCTCACAAAAAATTTTCACAATTTTTCTCGGAGGAAGAATGTAGACTATTTTTGGTAGGACCGGTCAGCGAGGGTCCAACCTACCTTGTGTTCGTTCACCAGCGGTTTTGTGAACCTTTGTTCGCCATGCCTGCGATGAAGTACTGTATGCAGGTGAGCGTTGGTCTCCCTCCCCCCCCAGAAGCTCAATATACCCCCGACGTTCCGCTTCGTGGCAATCATCGACCTCTAGTCTTGTAGATCAATTGCCCCTGATGCACGAGAATGCCTCCAACATCTTTGTCGACGCTAAATCCCCAGTATAGTATTACGATGACTTATTGCGCCTCTTTACTCAAAGTTAACCACCTGACTCCGGGCATAGAGCTATTGCCTAGACACGTGTGATGCCGTCTCTCCACTTGATGGTGTTTCTGCCCACCTGGATTGCGCCCAGTTCTTGACTATGGCCGAAGCCAGAGTCAAGAAGGCAGGTGGCGGGTGACTGACTACAACCACAATGGTCTGCAGAACCACCAGGCCCAAACAAACCTGTATTCCCGACTTTCCTGCTTTTTTATCGCTCTGATACCGAAGGCCAATGAAGCCATAGTCGAGAAGACGCAAGGTATCACCAAATCCCGCAACCTATTCTCGGACTCTCCAATACTTGACGCAAACAGCCTTTTCATCGGGAGGGGGACGAGTGCCGCACCGAAAGGGAGAGAATTGCGCGCGCTGGTCGCAGGGAAGGTGATTGCTCGATTGTGCGCTCCCCACTTCTACTCGTACCCGCACCTGTTGCAAAAAAGTATATGCACATGATATCAGTGTATTGTTTTCTGCGCTGATAGGCCAGATACCTAGGATCGCCCTCAGCACTGGACTTGGATCCGGCCCAGGAGACTTCTATCGGCAGGGAATGGTACAACTTACAATGGTGCTATCGGCGAATTGCAACTGAAGCACTAAAAAAGAAAAGGTAGCCCCGTGAGGGGTCGTGGCGGCAAATCAATGTAACCCGTATGATACGCATTCTCAGTGATTGCTGCCGTGTGCTCCAAAAGCTTGGATCCTGATTGAGTGCTCCCATAACCAAGCGCCTGATCATAGCATTGTGAATGCTGGTCATGACCATCAGTGTCTGCGCGCTCGCTAAACAAAGAATGCGCCGATCATGCCTAACACAAATCATCGACGCCGACAACTTGAGCTAGTCCGTTTCCCGTTTGTTTGGAGCATATATATTGCCTAGCCCACAGGAACATCAATCAATCCCTCTATCATTCGTTATCGCGGTTGCCCGCGACCAGAGGCACCCTGATCCGATCCACGGTTATGTTTAGTTCCACCCTACACGTGTGCCTTCTTGCATTCTGATCTCGAGCGTTTGAGGTGGCAATAAACTGCTGTTTATGGGGCGGACCCCCTCGGAGTTCGCAGTCTCCCATGTTAAATCGTATTATATTCCTACCTATACCCAATCTGCCATGCGAGCATAGGGCGATCAAATGTCAATGTGTCAATCATGACAAGTCCCTTCGGCGAAGCAATCAATCAAATTCCCGATTTGTGGGACGGCTAATGGGTTAGAGGTTCAATAATGGTGCTCCCCACTCAAAACCAGTACGGTCCCCCATTCCTCATGAAGGCCGAAGCTTCTGGACTCCTACTAATCCCGGCATCAAAGGGTCGGTGACTCGAACAATAATTCCATTGATATCCACGTAAAGATATTCCATTGAGCTTCGCTACTCATATCCTATGAACAGGCAAGTGTCGCCGTACCCAACAGATTCTGGGGCTGACTCCCCATCATTCTGTACCAGCTTTGGCGAGGATATTGACCTGTTATCCGGACGATCCAAGAACCACTTGAAGCCCACCTACATTACGCAACTGAGCTGTTTACCTAACGATCGATCAGTTGTTTCTTTAACTCTTTTCTATTTTATCAACTCTCGTCTGCGGAAATTATCTTGGCGGAGGACACGCACGGTCCAGTAAGAGCTGTTCTCTATAGTCCCGTTTTAGCCGTGCGATAAGTATTTTCAAAAACAAAAATGCAGAATCACACAAAAAAAACCGTCTCCTCTCCGGCAAAGTCAATGTTCAGGATGTCGTTGACCTCCCCTCAGCGGGGTTCCGCTTGGCTGTGCATCTGGTACATTAAGATGCAATATGCTGAGTTGTATATTTCATTGGTGGGGGAGAACCGAAACATTTGATCCCAGGCATCGAATTACCCGAGGGCTGAGATAAAACGTCTCTTGCATACCATCTTGAATGAAAAAAAAAATCTGATGCACGAAATTTCCCCTCAAACATAAGATATAACTCCGCTTCCATCCAATCTTTTGAGCACCAGGTGCATAATTCTGGAAGTTTTGCTGATTTGAAGAATTGCATAGCTCTCATCCAGGATGATGGCGTTAGGAATCTAGGTACCGTAAGATCCGAGAAACACTCAGAGTAGCAAAAGTCGGATGGCCCGGGTAGAATGTCCCTCCAAAATCTCTCTCTCGCCATAGCTATTTCCTCCTTTTCGAGGGGGTTTGAACAGGAAGCATATTTCCCCCATGCTCGCTTCGAAGCTCCCATCTTTAGGAAGGTTTGGTGGACCTACTAATAACAGAAAGACGGGTCAGCAGGGTAAAATGAAAAACTGGCCGGAAGCAGACATTTTTTTTTTCTTTCAACCCCTTCTTCCTTTCATCATAGGAGACGGGCAGATACATTACCATCCATCGAGTTTCCGCCGAGTATAGAAGCTCATTTCATCTCTCCCATCTATCATATTCATCCCAGGAGTCGTGATAATCTCTCCAGGTTTGGGTTGAGAAGTGCCAAACATCTCAGTTCACTCAAAGGACCCATCGAGGGCATCGTCCGAAGAAGGGTTTGCTGGCAGTTGAAGTTGCTGGAACGATGACTTGTACAACGTTGCAGGTTTCATCCAGGATCAAGATTTTTATTTTATTTCTTGTCAGGAGTAACGACTGAACGCCCGGGTAACTGACTAACCATACCGGGAATTAAGGTGCGGCTCTGTGCGAACCGCGGGTTAGGGTTCGGGAAACTCCATTAGTGTATCATATTTCTTGTGTGGAGCGTATGAATTGAGATGCCTTCCCCGAATATTTATCCGTAGATATTCTCTGCATATTTCGAGATATAATTCTCGCACCTCTCACTCAATTTCAGAGTCCGTTTTTTCCCCCGATTATTGAACCCCGAAAGGAAGATAGCAAAAAAAAAAGTGGGCTCTCTCGGGACTCCCCGCACACCCACCGGATTTGGATCTTCACTCCTTTCAGTTCGGTGGGATTTTTCCATCCATGTGCCCTATGATCTAATTGATTACGGATCAATTCTCCGAATTGTATAGGCAAGATCAGCCCCGATTAGCCCTCATTCCCTCTATTTTACTTTTTATTCTTATTTTTATTTTTCCCTTTGCCCTAGAACTAATTATCCAAAGTTCCTATGGGGACCTGATCCCCTACTCCAAGTATGATATGTCGCGAGCTAACTCAAACGGGGTTCGATTGCATTGAAATTTGTTTTGCTCGCTGATTATTCCCCACCATAATACATCTCCCTAAACTCGTAAAATTGCCTAATTGGGTGGGTCCTACGTGTAATGCATACTTAGGCCGTGTTATATTGCCACTTTAATATGATATGATTTATATAGTTCACTTCGATTCAGCATATTGGGTCGGTTTATTGGCGTTCAGTTGATGCGTTGTCCAGTCGTCGATGAATACGGAACCACCGGCCTTGCTATGGCCCCCAGCTCCTCCCGACTGCCCCCTCCCCCGTATCGCGAGGGAGTCAATTTACTCTATGTACAAGCTTACCCTATTGTAGGCTCGGATGTCCACATACTCTGAACGATTACAATACTTAATACCTATCGTTTCGAACTAAACCCTTCATTCGTTTCATCCGAGTATATTAGTGCATTCGAGAATCTATGATGATTCTTTGAGTGTTCCGAAGTTAGGCGAGTGCTTGGTCGTGTCTCGGGCAACCTCTCAAGCGGGCCTAATAACCCCTTATGCCTTCCCCTTCCCCCCAATGCATCGTTTTTCTTTTATGATGGATCACCCAGAGTGGTGAATGGGAGAAGTATCAAAATTTCTACCAATATGTGATGACCAAATTTGCTGATACTTTATCAATGATAAGTGAACAGCTCATTATGCGCGAGCCGATATATTGACTTCGTGGTCGATCTCTATCAATCATCGACCGGAGCACCGGATATTCCCGTGATGTTTTAGCCTAGGGCCCTATGGTTACTTGTCAGAAGACTATCAGGAGGGAAAGAAGAAGAAAAGGTTGATATCCTTCTTAAGCAGGTACCATGGTGAGTGCTGGGTCGAGCAACGCACTGCCGCCACCAATTGCCTCCCGTTGCCCACTCCCCCTGTAACATGGCGTAATTTCATCCAAGATCCCCTCGAGCTCATATTAGAAATCTATCGGGTCTTAATTATTATTACTTTCCTGCTCTTCCATTTCCGAAAGGGGTGCTCAAAAAGCCAATTTCCTGCAGACCGGGCTACAGTCCCTCCTAATATGGCCCGTCATCGCCGGACCAACATTTAAATAAATTAGCTCATCAGAGGAGGAAGGCGGAAAATCGCCGTGCTGCTAACACCCTTCGTTTGTCTGTAAGAGCGCTATTTCAAAGTTCGCTCGTTACGTACGTGTCTTCTCATGAGATGAGAAAAGAGCGATGAATGTTGCCCTTTGATGCTGACATTACAGGGAAATGTGAACATGGAAGGGGATAGGGGAGTTGACTGGAGGAAAAAACGACGGAAGGAAAACCAACAAACTACATGAGTTATAACTACCCAGGACGTAAAGTGGTTCTATACTCCGTGGTCCGGATGTCTCCCTGCATCGCCTGTTCCAGGAAGGAAACGAGTGAAGAAAGCCATGGTTTGCGAGAGGTCGTCCGGATCTCCCCCAACCCTGAGTGAGTCCAATACGGCGCAGTGTAACTACGGTACCCCAACTAATACTCTACTCGGAGAGGGGAGAGGGGGAGAAGGAGGATGACAACGGCTAGCCTTCAACAGCACCACACACACCTCATCCTTGCCGACCAGATGCTCCCCTTGATTGCCTATTTTTACACTTTCGTGTCCCGCAACCAGCTTCAATTGCCTATGATGGTGTGACGAGCCAGTAGATAAAGTCACCAAAGTCAATCCCCCTGGTCACGACCCGTCCCAACTGATCAACGAACATGGATAACAGGAAGCCTGTGGAGAGCGCTGGTGCCAAACTGTTAAGACTAGCTCGCTTGTAAATAACCCATCTTGAAAACGCCTCAGGTAAAAAAATGTTCAGGCCCATCGAATTTAAGCTAAGGCCGCATATCGGTAGGAGACCTGCCCAAGCCCAGAAGAGGAAGGGGCTATACCAACTGAAATGAATCTCCACTTGAGGGACTTAACTTGAAAAATAATCCCGAGGCTGCTGTTTTAATGTGTGAATCTAGTAATTTGTTACCCATCTGAGTATTTTTTTTAATTTTTTTCGAATGCAGTTTCCTCATTATTCGTAACAATACTGCCTTTTTATTTTCTCTTAGCCCTCCTTTCCCTTCCTTCCTCTTTAGTGTGCTCCCTTCTTTTTCAACATCGGTTGATCCTTTTCTGCACAGACACAATCCCTGATTATCTGCTACACTTGCTGTATTCCCACCTCGTCAGCACACCTTTTGCCTCCCTACCTTCCTTCCCCCACCCGGTGGGCTTCAATGGCCAATTCCCATCGGCTGATCACCTTAGTGACTTGTTAGAACTGTTTCCATGATGTTTCGTGGCGTGCTTTCGCCAATTATCTAAGGGAGGCCCACTCACGGGTTCTACGTTCATGACCCGGACTCGTTCCCTTCTCAAGGCCTGAGGACCTCCCTTTCCTCCTACGGGGTCTGCACTTGAAACGATTCATCCACTCGACCCAAACCCCGTCACCGTATCCCATTGGAGAAGAGGGATGCAGGAAATAGTGAGAAATAGTAAGAGTAAAAAATAATAATAAAATAATAAAATGGCAAAAAGATAAAAAATAAACGGCCACCCAGTGCGTTTGGTTGTTTTCGGAAAGCGCGTTCCAGAATAAACTTCATAGGCTCTGTAAAACATGGGGGGGCAACACCATTATCTTTTTTTTTTACCTTTTTTTCCTGAGCCATTCAGGGAATTTCCTTCCGTGGAGTGTTTTTCCTGTGAATCGTAGCCTGTAATACCCTGCGCACCACGGGATGCCGCTGTCTGAGGCGTAATCCTGGCGCTCTGGACGAATTCCGCGGTTGACAATCCTAGAGGGGTATAGAGTCAAGGGGGGAGGTTCAATAAAATATAAAAGGATGGAGAGAGAAGGGGGGGAAAGAAAAATTTGCAATGGGAATTGATAACCTTCACCGCGTGACCGTATTGAGGAGAGGGGAGTGGGGAATGGCTCTGCCGGGTTGCAAATATTGGTAGCGAGTGATGAACCGTGATGCCAGTACTGCAAAACAGAAAACGCACGTTGGGATTAATATATTAGCTCTCCTTACCCCCTCCCTTTCCCCTCCTCTCTCTCGCTCCTCCACTTTTGCCCAACCAACGAGCCTTGTTCAACTAAAAATGTTAGCCCTGTGCCGCACTCTCTACTGACATTCGATGGTTGATTTCATAATCTTGGTAATAAAATGCGATTGCCCAATCATGGAAGACCTTACCCGGCTGAGCATTTTAAATAGCCAGAGGGCTGAGAGCTTGCACCCTGGGGCGCTAATTTGCTACATTTCACTCGACAAATCAGGGTAATCATGCAACTCGCCGTAACGGGACATCGTCCCTTTCTTTCTTTTCCCCTCCCAGGGCCGCGGCACACCACACACACACCCATACCTACACACATACATACATACACCAGAGAGGCTCAGCAGTTTGCCAAAGTAAAAAAACGAAGAAGGACATTCGAGGTACGGTGAACGGAGCTGCCAATTCGATCGATGCATTCTCAAGATAATCGCCAAAACACGATAATAATAACCAGGAAGAATCGTGCTGGTCATGGATCATCACTCGAAGCCGATTGGCACAACCGGCCCCAAGAGGCCAAGTGCACTTCCCCTCTCCCTCGTCCCTTGGAACTGAGTGGACTGCTATTTTTTATTCCCTCTTTGGCGATACGAGTTTAGAAACCACGGTCCGTACGGCGCCGGTACGTCGCGGTACAGTTCAGTTCGCTGTTGTTATAGTTGTTGTTGTGTTGCTGTTGTTATCTGTGTTTTTCTTTTCTTCGATTCTTTGCTTTTCCTTCCTCTTTTTTTTTTCTTTTCTTTTCCTTATTCCCCATCGCCTTCGTGCTACATACACCCCTTCGCTTGGAATTAACGTCCGTCGTTGTAGTAGCGTTCTACAGGGAGGTGAGTGAGTAAATAAGATGAAGGGGGAGGGGGGGGGGGAATACGGGAAGAAAAGAAAGTAAGGCTGTCCTTACCTCCGGTATTCTGAATTGTGAGAACGAAGAAAAGTGAAAGCCTGCTCAATCGCGCCAATGAATCAGAGGGCAGAAATTATACGTCACCTGCCAGCTGGCGGGATGCCCTAACCCCGGCTTTTTTTACTGATCACGCTTGCCGATGCAACGACGTTATAGTTGTCGAATGCCACCACGAGTTTTTCTTGCCGCTGTAATACTTACTCTTCGCATCCTCCCCCTTGTATTGAGACATACAGTACTCGTACCGTACTGTACAGACAGCAATTGAATACCGGTTCCAAAGTAAATGGACAAAAAAAAAAAGAAAGCAAAAAGAAAATGCGAGGTATCACGTGTGATCAGCCTCGCCGGGATGTCATCAACCATTTTGGGGAATTGACATCCCGTCCGAGTTGTGATAGGCTACCGTATCTTAGTTTCCCCACCGAAAAAGTGGCGAGAGTGAGAGTGGGTGAACTCTTTTTTTTTTCTTCCCTTAAACCCTAACCCATAAGTTACTCATCCCATTTTGCGGTGTAACTTCTTTTCTTTGTTCTTTTTGTCGAGTAATATAAAGGGACAGAGGTGCTTGGGGGATTGGCTGCTGCAAAAGGAAACGGCCAGAGAGCGGTCGGGGACGGCGAGTGAGCCACTATGAACATATCTATGAGTTTGCCCCTTACTAGTTGTTAACTCGATTGCGAAACCACCAGACTTAATCAGGCACGGGCGTGTGCAAGCGCGCACAAACAAGGAAATTGGGGCAAGGAGATAACATGAACTTATAATTTCTCGGCCTGTCTGGCAGCACGGCAGGGCAAAAAATACCCCCGCCTTCAGGAATGATGATAATGATTAGGGTATACAAAAAAATAGCCTTTTCCTACAGTACATTTTCAAGGGCAATAAAGTCTAGCTTTCCTCGTGCTATGGGTTCGCATTCTTAACTAGAACTCCGACAAAATCATTAAATCAGGAACCAGCCTCGGGAGCAGGGATGCGTGCTTTGGAACTGACACAGTGCGGATCAATTCTGGTCACCGTGCCATCGCCGGCGCCATCACTCTCACCACCGAACACGACCTAGGCGAGACTATCGATGTTGCAGTCATCTCTTTAGGCTGTGGCTCAGATCCCGAACCCATCGATGAAGCGTCAAGTTAGTATTCTCCTACTATGAGGTAGTGAATAAGGTGTACATACCCGGCCCCCTTGACATTGCACCAGTGGTCACCATCGTCTCTAATGTTCTGAGATCTAGAGCGTCCTTTTTCCATGGTTAACTTCAAGGGGAGCCTCTAGGCTTCAAGGCACCGCCGGAGAGCTTTTGCGTAGCGGAGCTTAGACCAATTCAGGTTGTCAGGGCTGGGGCCATAATAGTAATATTTCCGAGAGAATCGAGTTCGAGGATAACGGCAAAGCCCAGTCTGTCATGAGGTGGCTTGTTGATAGTTGCCATGATCTGATCAATGAACCGCCTATAATTCTCTACTTCTCCATACTCAAGGATCAATTCTCCGCAGGAGGATTTGGCACCGCAGTCACGTTCCGGGAGATTGTAGATGACAAAGGGAATGATAAGCTTCTTTCTCGGAGGAGCGCGCTAGACCTGAATAGCCTCCTCGAGGCGAGCAGCAAATGTTAGGATCTAGATATTCCAATTCCATTTGACTAGTGCAGATAGGCTTACTTGCTAAAGATAGGGAGTCAGTCACTCTAGGTGGAACTTGCATCTCTAAAGCAGTGACCCACACGAAAGTGCTAAGCTTCTGCACAATCCTGGTCCTGGCTGCGTTGACATCATGGGACTCGGTCAGGAAACTAGCAACAGTACCCTCGAGTTTCTATGCATACCCAAGGTTGGCGAAACCAACGCAGTTTAAAACCCTATTATCAACGTTACAAGTAGTTGCGCACCTAGCAAACGGACTACCATAAACCGGTATTTGGAGAGGAGCCGGGCCGAGAAGAAGTACCACCGGAAGGAGAGAATCCCGAGAACTCATGATAGTGATGATAGTGGCCCTGCTTAACCTGGACACTGCGCAACAATTGCTAGCCCAATTGATTGGGAGTAGTAAAGGAACAAAAAACACTAGTGGGAAGTCTTGGGCTTTGGTCTCTTCCCTTCCTACTATCATGTTCTCCAGAAAAGAGAGCTAATTACTTCCAAGTTATCCTCCCTCCGCAATAACGACTCTTCAGCGTGCATCAGAGGAGTGAATCCGATGGGGCGAAATTCTAGGGCTAAAGCGACCTACTGAAAGGCCTCCGTGGGCTAAGATGCCACCATGCTAGGGAAGGGCAAGGGCACCAGTTACACGAAACGACATACCACCAGACGCACCGGCCACGGAACACGGGCCCAAAGCAGGTAGATAAAGTGTCGGAGTGTCCTATGCCGTTGTTCCCCAATGGTAATTTTTTCGCGGATTTCTAGGGTCATAATCAGCCCGACGAGGGAGTGGGCGGTTGAAATAAATGAGAAGGCGTTGATAGAGGTCTGGCTATGTTATAAGATGAACCCATGGCTCAGCAGCTTGATAATACTAGGCGCCCTGGCAAATCCACCAAAACCGACCAAGAGCACTGTGGAGATATCCTTTAAAGCACGAACTCCAATAGGGAAGTACTACGCTGTTCAAGTCTCCCTAAAAGATAGTTTCAACAAACGCCTCCATAACAAACTCTATCAAGACCCTCAGCCAAATTCAATAAAAAACGGTATAACCCTTGACACCTGCAGAAGGCCATCGATAGACGGGCCCTTGCAGTTGTCAAATCCCACCGAGCTGAATGAGCACAGCAACCTCCTCGGCGGCGTGCAAGCAGGAAAAGGCCCAGGTCACTTCCTCCCCTGAAGATAGCCAAGATTCATGGACAATCGAGCAGGCTGATAACAGAATGAGGTATTGCCCAAAGAGGATGTGGCTTTCTGTGGCGTCACCAGCCGGCTGTACAGTATAGAAGCTACATACCGGTACGTTCCCTGTGTAACGCACTGCACTGGGAGCCTTAAAACCTAACACGGCACTGTACCCGGATTGGGAAATGTCCACTTCGGCAAAGTTTTCAGCACGATAGTCCCACCCTCTGAAAAAGGCTCTTTTCGAGGTAATACCAATACCGATAGTATTCTATCCCTTACTACACTGCATTAAGGTTTCTCCCCACCCCTAGATCGTTCAGAGCCCACTCAACAAATTCCGATCAAGTTAACGTACCGGAGCGCCCCTGACCCGGCCGAGTGACACCTCAAGATCCTAATGACTAGTGCCTCACTTAATTCAGACACCCCGCCGGAAAACCTCCTCACAACACTACTTGATATGCCACGTTAGTCCCGGTTCAGAAATGGGACACAAATCAACGATCCAGGCTTCCCAAGCCCAAACCAGGCAATGCATAGGCACTTGCACACCCGGTGAGCAAAAGTCCTGGTGATTGAGCACATTTCATACTAAAATTCCTGATCTCGGGGGGCAGAGGGGAGGGGGGTAGCCAAACTCCTTCACCGAACCCAGGCGGAAAACCCTTCGAAAATGAAAAACAAAATAAAAATATCCAAGTGGTTACTATACATGCATGCAGAAGCTACCCGACAACTGTTTACAGAATCCTCCGATCCCTCGACAGCATGTTACAACTCATCAAGGATTGTGACGTTGGAGTTGCCGCTGCAGTTCTCTCGGTGAACTGATAGAAATGATTACTTTTAAGGGATGGTAGAGCTTCACAAGTTTGTATCCTAGGACCCCCAGTTGGCGATGGGTATGCTTCAAACTAGCCGTGAGATATGCAGACAGAAAAGAGGTTCGAATCGAGGATTTGGCGGAAAGGATATACAGTTTTCCAGGAGTTATCATACTATCAGTCAAAAGCGAGGGCATTGTTCGTTTTTTGGCGGGACAAATGAGCCTAATCACCAGACTTTTTGCCAACATGCCCTATGCAACAAACCCTTCCCACCCGCCTGTCCCACTGATCCCTGCTAAATCTCCGGAGAGTACAAGGATGTCCCACCCATATGCGGATAAATTCGATAGAGTCTTTTGGCCCTCCGGCCCTCCGGCCCTCTGCCGTGGGTATTGGGCGATCATGCGCTTGGAGTGAATGGATAGTACGCCCCGCTATTTCGAAATACTCGCGAACTTTGAGCACTGGAAGCTCTTGTGTCTGGGTAGGGTATCTCGATTTCTGACCCGTCGCCCATCTCCCTCACCCACACTTCACCTCATGGGCTAGCAGGCAACCTTATATAAAAAAAAAGTCGGAAAACTGCAGTGTTCCTTGTTTCCACTTCTGCTTCTCTTTTCCATTCTCTTCACTTCACTTCTGTTCCTTCTCTTCTATCCCCCCCGCTACTTCTCACGTTTTACACCTCCTCACACTCTCTCACTTCCAGATCTCTAACTTCTCATCCACAACCTTTCGACAAGATAATAAGCCGCTACACAATCACTGGTAACTAGATCTGACACCTTTCATCCAATAAACAAAAGGAATATGAGAAGATGAAAAAATAACCATGATATTAACTCCTTGGGTCATGGGTCAAAGCCGCTTGATCGTAAGGGACAAGTGAGCTCCGGTGATTCGCAATAGAAAGTAGCATAACCCTAGATGTAGAAGTCGCAACGGCCAATAAGGAAGCTCTTAAGCCTGTGACAGTGATACGAGTTTGAGACATTATACCCAGCCCTGTTCCAGTCCGTGACTGGCCGGGCTCGGTTCCCGGCAGTGTGTTTCCGTGTGCCCCGACGGAATGCAGGAGTATCATTACGAAAGATTACCAAATTTGAGCCCTTCCATTCCCTATATTTACCCAAATACAGTTCCACAGTTGATGCCTCCAACCTGGCCCAGGGTCTTCATCAGAGCCTGTCACCGCCTGTCCAAACCTCCAGCATACCGGGTATTTGGCTAGCGGAGCCTAGCCACGATCCCGGAAAGATCATACACGAGTCGACCTCAATCCCAAGTCCAGGATATTCGACGCACAGCCTTCCGACCCCAGGCCACTAATGCCTATACTCACGTCAGAACTTTTAGAGCAGACTCCATCTAATTATTCCCAACAGCTTCCAGTACTGCTACTAATCCGCCTTATCCCCTCAGACATAACCCGCGGGGTTCTGGCAAGGAATGATTTAACATGGGGACTCCATGTCCAGTATTAATTTGTGATCCCTAGGCACCCCCATAACTCCCAAACATTTCTATAACGGTGAATTCAACTCCCATCACTAACCCATTCTCGGAGCCACAACCGAAGATAGGACAGCAGGGGGGTGCGGGGTGGTGGGATAATAATAATAAAATAAAAACACGAGTGGCCATTACCAAGTCTATCAAGGACCATTCCAAGCCCCAAAAGTCCTCCTATACACCACGCCAGCCCTTAGATATCTAAGGCGGCCAAACCTGTCATCTAGACTTGCGGGAGATCTCTCTCATAGCCCAGCTATAACAAATGATTGATAATAACAGCCTCCACTACAAAGCAGCCGTACCGCAGTGCAAATCGCTTAAAAGTTGAACCAGGGTTGACGCAGAAACGGTAGAAACCGCATCAAACCGCTGCTGCTCACCCAACCCGATGATACCCCGTTACACTCCCTTTCCCAAAATCTTCGCAGAAAGAGAGAGTACGAGTACTGTGGGAAAATCCTGTGAGCAACGAAAGTACCTGTACAAGTACAAGATTTCGCCAGGTGTCTAAGGCCTGAGTTTTAGTTTCAGCAATAAGATTCCCATTGCTAGTCGCTCCTTGGGCTAGCATACCAACGAGAAATAGAGGTTGCTACAGTTTCAAGTTGGTGGGTAAGTCTCCTGTCCGACATAATTTGCGCTCTGAAAGGGTGTTTGGCACATCAAAGTTTGTGAGGTACGATGAACTGAAGTGTATAATGTAGTAAAATTCCATGTTACAAACCATGTGCAGCCAAACACATCTTACCTCATAAACTGCAGTTAGTAAGGTAATAATAGCTAATGAACCGTGGTTTATAAGGTATTACCTTACAAACCTCGACGTGCCAAACACCCCTAAATATTTGCCTATGCCTTGCGCTGGTATACTTGAGTTGCCGCCAAGATAGAGCCACTGTACCTCCCTTTCTGTACAGATTTTGGGACTGGTGGTGTATCACCCAAGCAAGTACGAGTACTCTACAGTACGGTACTGCACTCGTACAGAGCGCTTTTACCTAGTATTCCGTGCTGCATATATCTAGGGACTTGTTTCATACCCACCCAAAGCCTCTAAGTGCACTTGGGGATGTCGCCTCACTTGACACCAACCCCGGTATGATACAAGTACATCCAATAGGTTCTCTAATTTCCGCCCCCTGCAAAAAATAAAACCGCTAGAACCTAGGGCTAGACCTGAGCGGCGGTCAGCTGTGATATTTGTAAAATTCGGGCTGTGTGTATAGCCACCCGAGCTTGGATTCGGGTCATCTTGAGAAGGTTTCAAGTGATCTGCCCGGTACTGTACCACATTCTAGGTCACAGCTGAATTCAAAGTCATCTTTATGGGGCACAAAAAAGCGGTAGAAACCACCCTCCTACTTTGCGTCCCCATTTATTTTGCCGATTTCCGAGTTATCATACCAGCCATAGCTGACGTTCTGCCATCCATGCCGGTATCGTAGCAAAACGCGGTGTTTAGTCATATAAAAAAATTTCTGCCCTAGGATCAACCTCCGAACGATATGACCACCCGCGAATAAAACCCCTCTGAAAAAAGACCCCAGCGAAGGTATCATAAGCCAACCGGGAATCAACTCCGCGAAAGGAGCCATAAAAAAAAGACCCCCCCAAAGGCCAACTCCGCGAAAAAAAAACTCACCCCACGATAAACCCTGGTGGGAACAAAACTCTACCGCTTGGTGGCTCCAAGAAGTTTACAGTCGCACCCCGCTATCCTGTATCCCACTGAACCGGACAGAACCCTTCGCTCCTCCAATACCTCACAGAAATCACCTATTGAGCCAGAGAAGGAGTTTTTTCCGATCCGTATGAGATCGGGGAACTCCTACCCCATTCATATAAAAAGACCAATCTACTAAACCAGACGCTATGGCTACTATCAGAGAAGTCAGGCCAACCGTAAAGGTAATGGGAAAGCAAAAAGAATGTGGAGAAGGGGAAAGGGTATTAGCTCACAGCTGAACTGGGGCATGGAGGCAGAGCATATCGCTAGTACTCATATCGCAGTAGTAATGTAGAGTCGGCAAAGAACATGCCAAAGGCAGCTACCATGTTGACCATGATACGGATTGTGATAATAGGCTCATGAATAATAGTCAAGATAAAACCTCCCATAAGTCGAGGGCTTGATTGTTGTACAGTACTATGTCCATGCAGGGCGTCCGGAGGTCTTCAATACCGCCTGCCTCCACTATATTATTGGATAAATTTCAGTCACAGACGGTTAGGCGAACCAGCCCTAAAGCTTAAGTTAGTCATTCAGCCCGGGATCACCTGGTCCCCTATCATACTTGTATTTTCACCGTATACGGGTATTCGGAGCCAGAAATTAGTACATACTTTAGTAAGGATACTAGTACTAACATATCATTCCAATAAAGATATTAAAACACCCATCCGGGTTAGAATTCGATACGAAATTTCTTGGCTACTCATTCAAGTACCGGCAGCCAGACTTAAGTCACTTCTATTTTATTTTAGTGCCACATCTTCTAGCTGTTAAAGACTCTTTACTTATAATTTCATAGACTATTTGGAACCAGGAATTAGTAGGAAAGCTAGTCCAAACATATAATTCTAAAAAAAAGATTAAAATGCCCATTTAGGTTGGAGTGCTTTATTAATCTTTATAAGGACTATCTATTTT